CCCCTGTGATTAATTTAATGTTACACCAACTTGAATTACTCATTGGCCTTAAATGATTAAATTCAATTTTTTTTTTACATTAGGACTCCTAAACCACACTTTCTTCTTTTAGAAAAAGTCTAAGCTTTTCTGTATGGATGTTTACTTCAGGATTCAAAAACCAAGGATTTAACAATATTTTTGCAAAAAACCGATAAATTTAACATCCGTGGCTTGTTCTCTAGTATTACCTATGATAAGAGAAAAAAAAGGCGCTGAAAAATTTCTCCTAAATTAATATATAAATTTAATGACATCAGAGCAATGAAACGTAATCCAGCATGAAACACAAATCCAAACCAAAGTTGATTTGAGAATGAGAAGACTACTAGTGATAATAATGTAAAAACTAAGTAATGCTAATACAATTCATACTGAGTTACACGGCGGAAAAAAGTCCCGGGCTATAATATATGTCAAAAAATAATCAAGAAAGTGTTACAAACCTTACAAGGTTACTGGACATTAAAAGCCTACACATTTAAGCCAAATTTCATAAAAACCGGATAAAGATTTCTCACGTTATCATGTTCGCAGACACACATATAGGTATCAAATGAATAAATCTACATATGTATATATATATTTAAAGGAGTAGCGTTTTTGGCCTCTGGAGACATCAAAATGAAAAAGTAAATCAGATCCCGGGCCTAGGTCTTACCGTGCCACTTATGGTGATAGCTACTTCCCTATAAGGAAATTCGCTAAAAGAACAAACTTATTTCAATTGTTCCACAAACAGTGCAACCCTGCGCAGACACACTGTTTTGCTTTTTGCATATTAACTGTTTCCACAATCAAAATGTTAAAAGACTCGTTTAAAGTAATCTATAGATTTTTTTTATATCGGGTTCAATTAATTTATTATGAAAAACTAAAAGAGGAAATACAACCTCCATAGACACACTACACAAGACTACACACTCTATGAACGGAGAACAAGTCATTTAGTCCAGGCAACGAAGAAAAAAAACCAAATAGAGGAAGATATTCATATGAATAAGCCAAATTTAATCTGAATTTTTAATCTGATGACATTGATGACATGGGTTCAAATTACATTCTTTGAACCCAACTTCCTGTGTGAGTAACAACATGAGTCATCAATCTAGCCTCACTTATGTAGACAAATATCCACACTGCAGATCACTGATACTAAAGCTTTCAATAAGTTATGGAAAAGACTTTTGCATTGAACTGAAAAACACAAACAGAAAATAAGGCAACCGAATAAGGGTAAAAAGCTAATTATTTTAATTGTCGGCATTTGTTAAGTTAATAATTACAATTGATTCTATTGCCCTTAAGATAGCAGAAATCACTCTTTTTTTTCTTCTAGAACTTTGGCCGTGGTTTGCATCTATCTATTATTAATTCTGTAAGCAATTTTTTTTGCAAAATTGTGAGAGTTTGACTACTTACAGGATGATAAAAGAGGGCTCAAATTAAAAGTATTGGTCCCATGGGGTTGGGAAAAATAGCAAATTATGTCCAAATATATAGAAAATTATAAATAACAAATAATATCTTCCAACTAAAATGCATTTGTAATTAAAAAGTATATTTTTTTCTATTTGTATTCTACTTTTAATTCTGTTGGTAGAGTGTGTGAAGTTTGTTTACTAATAAACAAATAATTCAGATAAATTCTGCTTTCTCTATAAAGTAATCTAAAAATGATTAACTTACAATTAATTTTTAGAGCCGCTGCGTGAAAGATCTTTTGATTTTTAGTTTGTTTGAATAAAACAATAATTTGTTTTACATTTGTGCCATGCATGCAAACACTATTCTTTTTAATAAATAAAAAAGTAAAAATTAAATAGATGTCATTTTTAATTTAGAGACTTTCAATGATAGATCTTTTTCAACATTCATATTCCTTATAGTAGCCTATAATCTATCCTTATAGGAACATTTTAGTAGAAATCCAGCCAGGTAAATGGAAATTCGCTTAGTCTGCAGGTTTGCTGCGGCAGGGGTACTTAATAATTTCTATCTGGCAAGTCAGTTAAAGTTTGATAAAGGAGATGAGGGCTATAATACTCTTGGTATGAGGGACTAGAGTGGGAGGGTAAATTCCACCCCTATACAATGGCATTCATCGCTTTATTGGACAAGACTGGCTTCAAAATGGTTCTTTCTCTGTATTATTGCAGATTGCAAAGCTATATATTATACAATTTTAACAAAACTTATAACAAACTCATATAATCCTATATCTATAGAATTACTAGTTATAAAACTTTGGACTAAACCATTTGTATGCTTAGATTGGTATCATATTTCAAAATAAAGATATCAACCGTTACACTAGGTATTGATAAACAAACTCAACATGGGTATACAAATTTTATCTAAAAATAAGAAGTTCATTGTAAATTTATATATAAACACTATTAGATACTGAAGTAGCCATCCCATCTATCGACTAGCTGTTGCTAGTTTTTTAAATCGAAAAGAACATAGTTCTGTGAGCCAGTCACGGCCTATTCTATTTTATATCTTATTTTTTGTTTCTGGCTAAGTTACATATAACAGTTGCTATAGCTCACAATAAGTCATTCCACTAGTTGGACTTGGTAAAAAGGCTCGTGTATTAGAATAGAATAGAATAGAATAGAAAAGTGCTTTATTGAATACATATTATGTACAGTAGGCTACATGAAATGGGTAAGATAAATTGATACATGCACATACAACAATGGTCATACGACCGTCTGCTGGGTTGGCATAATGTCCATTTAATATTAATGAAATAAAATAGAATTGTCCCACATAAATCAACATACTGAGCACTAAACTTAAAACAAAATAAAAACTTCTTTATGCACACATACAGGGTATTTTTTTTTAAGTGTGCCACCATTGGGATCTGGGTAACTAATGCTTTTACAGCAAACTTTAAATGGGGAACATTCCCTTGTTTTTAAAGAGGTTCAAAAATAATTAAATAAAATTTTTGTAAATGGCCGCCATTTTCCAATATGGCGGTCAACTTTGAAATTTCTTATGGAACACCCTATATTTTATCATGTTTTCGGATAGAACATGCAATTTAAAAACTTTTTTGTTCCTGACATTTTTCTTGACATTCCTAGACCCACTCGTTTAGGAGTTACAGCCTATGGAAAAATGACTTCCGGTGTACATTTTACATCATGTAGCTCCTAAACAAGTAGGTTTATAGGGAAAATGCGAAGAGTAAATAAGTCAAATAAGTCTTAAAATTGCATCCACATTCCAAAACAAACAAAAAGACCATGAAAAATACACAGTTTTCCACTTTTCAAGTTTGCCACCATTTTGGAAAATGGCCGCCTTTTGAAATAATAGAATTAATATTTTTAACAAATTTTATGGTTATTGACTTTTTAAGCAGCTCAAGTGAATAGTAAACAAACAAAAACAACACCTTTACGATGCACAGTTTGCAATAGTGTCGGGAATCACCATTAAAAAAACCGAATAAATCGGTTATTGATGCTAAACAGACTAATTCGGTTACCGTATGTTATCCTGATTCGGTTAAATAAAAGTCTTACCGAGCAATTCAGTGATTTTAAATCAAGTTTGTCAGTTAGGCCTAAATATATTTTACGATTTTTTTTTTTAAATGTTAGGCCTATACCTATAAATTATTACAAACTGATATTTTTAACCCTACATTAAAACAGTTATACTAAAATATTAGCCTACCTACTTTTATACAGCAGACAAGTCGAAAACAGTTTTTAAAAAGAGGTGGGTAAGAATACTGGGTAAGCCTATTGACTAAATGTTTATTATCACATAGTCACATCATCAGGTAAAATTATTGTTGTTTGGAATAGGTAGTGAATAAATTAGGCCTAATAAGTTCCCTAACTAAAATTGATTCAGCGATTCGCTCGACTGACTAAAAATCACCGATTGACCATATATGACTGAGAATGCTATTCAGTGTCTCATAAGATAGGTCTAAAAATTACGTTAGTTGTGATTTGGGCACAGTAAGATAGATAATGACTAAAATTGATTCAGTGATTCATTCAACTAAAAATAACCGATTGACGCTATAGGCCCCTAAATAACTGATTGATTATTCGGTCATGGAAACCATTCGGTAATCCCATCACTAGGCCTAGTTCGCAATTCGCAAATGCAACTGCAACTGGGCTGCACTTTACTTTACGTCCTACACTCATTCGAATGAAACTATCGATTGTTCGATTGTTTCATTCGATATATATCGTTGGGTTAGGTTAACCTTACCTAATTAACCAAACGATATAACTTATCGAACAATCGATATATCGATCGATATTTTCATTCGAATGAGTGTAGGACGTAAACTAAAGTGCAGCCCTGCAACTGTTGAGAGAAACTACTATGCAGTGCCACTGGCTGGAGCACTAGTGGTTCTAACCTGGCTCAAGAAAGATACAGTGAAGCTATTAAACAAATAGGCCTACATAGCTGTTTTCCCAGGAGCTGTTCCAATGCTTTCTGTGCATGTGGAAGCACAGGTGCCCGTGGGTACAGAGAACGTCAATTCTCAACAGCAGCTAAAATAAAGGTTCAATTCTGATTGAACAGACGAGAGGGTGGCCTTTATCAAGATATTAAAAATATGACAATTAACTTGGGCTAATTAATTGAGTGAACGACGGCTAACATGTAATTAAAACTATTGGTTATATAAGTTATAGGCCTATAATAAGATTAATAACCAAGATATTTCTAGACCTACTCTGTTTAATTGAAAAGGTATTTACAATCTTACTCCCACGTTTTAAGGCCCAAAATAAAAAATATTGAGATATTTAGATGTCCAACTTGCATTTAACATTTTGACTTACATGTTATTTAAATCATGAATATGATAATAATTGTTTAAAGTAAGTTAAACACTTTTCCTTTGGCCAAACCAATTATCATAACCTAAACCTATTACATACATTAAAGAAAACATATGTTACCTTACGATTTTAGATGATTATTTGTAGAAATATAGTATGTCAATCCCAGTTACGTAATATTACTACTATTTTTATGGCTCCCGAACACAGTAAACATTATGAAATTCGTAAATAAGCTCGAATTCAATCGATGAACAACACTAAAAAGTCCGCAATTTTATTTGCAGGCAGCAGACGAGAATGAGAGAGAAGACCGACCGGACGTCGGAAAAACAAATGAAATGACTGTCACCCGTCCGTCGTTGTTGTTTTCAATGTTTTCTGCACTAGCTACAAAAAACTTCTGCTAATCAGCTGTAGAAAATGCAGTCTACCAACAACGAAGTTTCAAACTCCCAAAGTCAAAGCAATGCTAAATAAAGTACTGAGACAGTAACGTAAAGTGAAAAGGACGATAAAACACTACGACTTTTACTGTTTATATTTATTTTTTTGTGTAAATATTAATAATGTTCCATGTCAAAGTCAAATCATTTATTGCCGCAACAGATTTACAATGTATGGCAACGTCAAAAAATACTGCAAAACAAATTGTTTACAAATCAAAGCATCAGTCCATTGATTTACAATTTTCAATGAATTCATTCAAAGAGTATACACTAAGCTGCAACAAATTGCATTTCAATTGTTTCATAAGATCTACAGATTCTAAACTTTTAAGGTGGCGGTAACATACATTAAACAGTCAAGGTACGTTTTGCTTGGAACGACAGGTACGACAGTCCCGGTCTTGAACGCTATACGGTGGAGGTTCCTTAGGCTGTTTGGAAGGGATTTGTAGATCTTAATTGCCGGGCGAGGGTGTCTGCTTAAGGTTTGGCTTAAGCGGCAGCGAGGCATATCAAGGTAAATGACGAAGGCCAATGCAATGAATAGCCTACTAAACTGGGATTACTACTGAGATTAGAGACTCGGCTAAGTTTGGTTTCAGTCCTACCTGAAAGGAAGGCGCCAGGTCGTTGAAATCAGTTCCACGAAAAATGGCAAAACCACCTCTTTCAGATCACAACTGTTGAATGTTGCCAGAGGAGTCCCTCAAGGTTCAGTACTGGGTCCCATAATTTTCGCAATGTTTGCTGCAGATCTTCCGAACTACACGGAGACACACAGTCTCATACTGTCATGTTTGCTGATGACTCATTACTGTTAACCAGCATCTCATCTGCCGAAACTTTGGAGATTGAAAATTGCATTTCAATCAAGAGAGCCAGGGATTACTGTTTCAACAATGATCATGTTTTTAACGAGAGCAAAACACAACTCTTCTTTGGAAGGTTGAAGAATGAAGTGTCGTCTCCTCCAGAAATTGAAACAGCTCTGTTCACTAAATACCTTGGCGTAACCCTAGACGACAACTTAATTGTGATGGGATATGCATTTGGATTTCCTCTGTCACAAACTCAGTTTTTTCCCTGTTTGCTCTAAGGCGGATCAACCATGTCGCTACACCTGAAGCTACTCGTTTGGCCTACCACGCTTAAGCCCCTGTCACACGGAGCTGGTTCCAGCTGCTAGTTCTCGCTGCGAGATCCAGCAGCTTTACTTGCTAGTTCTCCAGCGCGCTAGAAGTCCTGTCAGACGAAGCTGGAGAACTAGCGCTACAACTTACAAGTTTGGTGATGTAATTGGAACTGACTGTGTAGTTAACAAAAATAATGTCTTCTGTTTGCTATTAGAATTGATGTTTTGCCTATGATCAGCTATCATAAAATTAAAAAGTGCAAGGAAAAAATATACTTTTAATATATAAACACTATTATTTTGTATCTACTACGGGCATGTAAATTAACTAATTAAAATCGAATAAGTTGTGGTAGGCGTATAACAAAAGGACTTTATCTTTCAAGAACACATTCATTTAATTAATATATGTTAGATGTAGCAATCGTAACAACGAGAAAATTACGGCAATGTATGAACAATTTCTAAACATGAAAGTTTAAATTTATTCTTGATTAGTTTAAATGTGTTTAATTAATTTAAATTCATTTTTAGCGAATTTCCCATATAGGGAATAAGCTATTACCGTAGTACTCATGGTAAGACCTGGATGCGGGACCGATTTTTTTTTCGTTTTGAGGTCCCTAGAGGCCAAAAATACCATTCGTTCAAATTCATATATATATATATATATATATATATATATATTTATATATATATATATATGTGTCCGTTAGCACGATAACTCGAGCAAAAATGATCCGATTTTGATGAAATTTGGTACAAACGTGTAAACCTACGTTTATTCGAACGAGTTCGCGATCCAGCATGATCGGACCATGGGAACGGGGGTTTATGGGGGGTTTTATGGGGTAAAAATAGGTTTTTCCCATTTTTGACTCAAAAAACATACAATTTTGCAATTTCTTTCTAAACCATTTTGTAGAGCTTAAAAAAACAAATAATTTAGTATATTGAAGCGTTATTATGCGCCTAATGGTTACGGAGAAAATTTAAAAAAATTATAAATTTAAAATTCCCATGTTATTCTTATGGAGAATAAGTAAACTGTTGTAGTTTGCTTGTTTATGAACATATTATTTGATCAAATTTGGAAAATGTTTTTATTTCTTACTAACTATTAACATTAAAAAAAAAAACAGTTTTACCCTTCCTGATGCAGCAAACCTTAGTACTTTTTAAACTAATTCTATTTAAATCGGGAATAAATGTTTTATTTTTAAGTAGATATTTCAGTGTAAATCCAATCAGTCAAATGGAAATTCACTTAGTCTGCAGGTTTGCTGCGGCGGGGTATTTCTTATTACGAGAACTAGCACGATACTGTCAGACAGAGCTGGAATGATGCTAGAGACTACAGCTGGGTGGTCACATGACCTGCTAGTAACTCTTCAAGCGCTTGTAATATTAAACTGTTTAAAACCTCCAGCGGCTGGAGATACCAGCTCATGCGAGTGTTAAGCACGGGTCACACTAGGTTGTTCGGCAGCCGCTGGTGATCAGCGGCTGGCACCAGCACCACCAAGCAGCGGCTTTTCCACGGGTCACACTAGGCTGCTTGTTAACCGCTTGTGATCGTGATATCAACGATGTGTGAGAAGGAACAGAACAGCTGTGAGGTTTTGTAACAAATCAATGTAAGCTGCTTATTTTACGTTTTTACTTCTTTAAAGAAACGTCCCACAAGTACTGTACGTTTAGTTTTGGAATAAAAAAATCATAACCTGCTTCCCCGACCACCTAAGCTCAGTAATTTCTATGCTACAATACTACTTTAAAGTTTAAAACTAAGTTCTTGCTAATATTGAGGATGTGTGTGAAAGAGAAATCATTTTATTAAAAGATGCTTAACCGCAAGAAGAGACGTTAGTGGATCAGGTCTTGGTTACAAATAAACATACTTTTTAAAAATACCACGTTTTTTAACGCAATAAAAAAAGAATCAGAAACATACCAACATGTTTTACGAATGTCACCAGTCACCACATACATTTCCAGGCATTAGAATTAAGTTAAGCCTCTAATTAAACATTTCGACAGTTGCTTTTGTCCTTTTGTGAAACCAAGCTGGATATTACCATTGACTTTATATCTAAACATATTACCTTTGGTCGCCGCTGGCACGCTTCTAGAGGTGGTCAGACTACGCTGCTCGCTGGTGTCAGCGAGTGCGAGTGGTCACGTGACCTCTAGTCGCCGCTGCCTCGCTACCGAAAGTTGAACATGTCCAACTTCGCCAGCTGCTGACAAATACTCGCCGGCAAGCGATACCAGCTGCGAATTTTGTGGTCACATCAAGCTGACAGTAGCGGCTTCTTTCAATTCGCCGCTGATGCCAGCCTAGTGTGACCCGTGCTTAACTAGCGGCTGGAGAGTCAGTCACACGATGCTGGTTTTCCGCTGGTTCTAGCTGCTAGTTACTAGCGGCTAGAAAACCAGCTCCGTGTGACAGGGGCTTTAGGTCGAGTCGAGTCCCATATAAGATATGGAATTGTTCTATGGGGGAATTAATCTAAAGAGAAAATGAGTTGGGTTCTCAACTTGCAGAAAAAAAGCCATTAGAGTTCTTTGAGATCTTCAGTGGAGAGAACGCTGCAGGAACACCTTCCAAGACACTCAAGATTCCAACTCTCGCCACTATATATATATATATATATATATATATGTGAAGTAGAATGTATGCAAGCAATCAAAAACCTCCTAAGGAACCTTATCATTTTGTTTAATCGATTTTACTTAGAGGATTTTATTTATCCTTTAAAATATGGTATTTAATATATGGTTGTTTCCTACCATGGTGTATAGTTAACGATAGTCAAAGGTAGCATGTTAAACTGCTTAGGAACTTAACCACAATAAGGCTGTTCAAGTATATAATATAACTTATATTAAACACCTCCAATATTTATTATGAAAGTGCAATATGCCTGTCCAAAAATGTTTTGTTGTGTTATTGTTTGTTCAGGTTTAAGACTACCCTACTGAAAATCGCTCACCATGCCTTTTTGAAGGAGTGCATTGCACTCCAGCAGATTGTACTAAAACCTTTCAGAGAAGACTTTCTGGGCTACAAAGGGAACAGAAACCAACTATGTAGGCTACTTTAGAAATACTTTTGCCACTGTTTGCTTGCAAATTTTACTTGCCTATCTGCTTCTTAGAAATCAATGGATTGTTTTGTAAAAATGATGGTTATTATTGAGAAAGAATACATTTTAAAAATGTTTACTTACAATATTGTATAGCTTTTTTGGTTCTGATAAAAATACATAACTCATGCTGATAAAAAGATATTTTTATAATTATTAAACCTTTTTCTTATAGGTAGGTAGGTAGGTAGATGGGTTTTAGTTACTTAATTGAACTTTCTGTAATCAAAACTACTAGGAGGTAACGAATTGTAAATTTTTATAGGTATACACTGTGGATGCATTACTCCCTGGTGTGGATTAACGTCCGCACTAGTGAGTACCGTACTATGACTATCCCCAGTACTATCCTGATAATTAGACCAATTCGTCAATTACAAGCCAAAAATGTGGTTCGGATTCCACTATAAACTGTACGTCCATTTAGTTGCCATTGGCTGTATGGGCTATTAATTAATAGCTGTGTCTAAGGAATATGTCTAATTCACTAACAAGACTACAATATCATGATCCTACACTCATCTCCATTCATACTTGGCTTAAAATAAAGTAAAGTATTTAAGTATTAAAGTAGGTTCTACAGAATTTGTAGGAAAGAAAACCAACAGAAAAGTAGAAAAATTATCTTTTACTAAACAACTAAAAAAACTTTTATCTGTTATTTTTCCAATCTTAAAAGAAAATTAATCTTTCTTTAGAACAAAAATTATGTTGAGTAAAAATTTTACAATTTCAAAATAATTGGCCTGAGATACTAGTAAGCCTACTTCTATGATGATAATAACAAAATTCAAATAGCCTATTTACTGAAAATGATGTCACTTTCTAAAATATAAAGTAAAAACAAAAGAGGTAATACTGGTAAAAAAGTAAAATCAACTGTTATGATACTAAGTAACACAGGTACACGAAGGAACAAAAGTTCATTGCTGGGACTTCTTCCACAAGTTATCACAGTTTTCTTGCAGTTGTTGGGCCACTTTGGGGTCCTGTTTGCTAACAACTTGGTCTAGCAGATATTTTATGTTAGCATAGAAAGTAAAGGGGCTAGGCACTGACACATGTGTTGATTCAAACTGAGAGATGGTTTCTTCAAGTTTTTTCAATTCTTGTAACTTTGAAAGTTTGTCTTCTCCATTAGATTTAGCATCAAGAGACCTTTCATTCTCTGTGCTTCCATTAGAACCTTGGTTCATAACGATACCATTAGATTCATCATTTGGTACACATTTTTCGGAGTTATCTTGTATTTTTGAGATTGTTTCATCTCCATCAGCTTGAGCATCAAAAGCATGTTCTTTTTCTATGCTTCCATTTGACCCTTGGTTCGGCATATTACCATTTGTATTAGTTATAACATTTTCAGAGTTTTTCTCTACTGAACTGGTTGTACTCTGAGTAACAATTGCATTTCTTTGTTCAGTGTCCTTTCCATTTGAGTTTTCTTGTGTTTTATCAGGCACACAAGAACCAACCTGTTTATCAGTCTCAGGATTGTTCATTTCTATCTGCTCGTTTTGATGTTCAACTGATGGACATTCTTTATTTTCTCTAGTCAAATTTAGATTTTCTTCAGTCTTTTTGGCTTCTTGGTTCTTGCTATCACTTAATTTACTTCCTGTACTACTTTCAACTTTATTCTGAGTCTGGTTTGTCTTCTCTTTGCTATCGCTTTTCCTTACTGCACTCTTCTTGATGTTTTCTGCAGTAACACGGCTCAACAACTCTTCTTTTTGAGCCTTTTTGACAAAAAACGAAATACTCTCTCCATCAAGAACCTCAGGAGAATATTTTGTAATCAGATCCACAAGCCACTCAACTTTGAAATCTATTTCTTCGATGGTGCTTTCTTCAGCATTACTCTGTCCCGAAGATTTGAGCCTCAGTGTAGCTACCTTATTCCAGTTATTATTCAACCAATGGATGATGGAAGCGCATACAAATGCTTTTAAACTCTTCATAAGCTGCTTTTCTTCAAGAGTTTCATACTCTTTGGTCAGAATGCTTTCCTTGCTGAAAATACCTGAAAAATAAGAGTTATGTCAGTGGTTGAATCAAACTGCAATCAAAATTGACTCAACATTTTACTAGGTATTTCTTATCCAAAAATGTTATTTAGTTTACCAAACCAGTTATATTATTTAAAATGGTGTGTAAACCTTGTCAGAAGAAAATAGTATATATATAGACTGCTGATTACTTTTTAGAAATGTTTGCTATTCAACCGTCAAAATGTGAGGATTGAAAATGTATTTAAAAAAATCTTTTGAACAAAATACGTTGTCCAAAAGAGTTTGAATGAAAGAAAGTACATACAATTACAGGAATAAAAATTAAAAATAGAACTTTGTTAATAAAACTTAGTAACAAATCTTTGGATAACAAAACCTTGGCAGTAACTTTATTAAAATAGCTTTCTCATTCCATGAAATTCAAGCTACTAAGGATCAAATACAGTAGACTCCCTCTCATCCGGACACCTTTTAACCGGACATCGGTTTAACCAGACTACACTCTACGGAAATGACATTTCTTTATCCAGACAATTTTTATCAGCAATTTGGTTTAACCGGACTAGATCGGCAGGAAGTGGGCGGTACTGTAACGCCTGTTCTCGTGGGAAAGATTTGAGACCAATGATCACATGTCTTAATACAATGCTCTCCTAAGTTTAAGTCGAATATCACCGTAAACGGTCCATTTTATTGAGTTTTTGGGGACGTCGGCTTAACCGGAAAAACCGTTATCCAGACTGGCCTCGGTCCCGAGGAGTCCGGATAAGAGGGAGTCTACTGTACAGTTGTGTGTTTTAAAATTTAAATTTTGTTATATGGCTATATACTGAGGTGATTTTTATACATCTAATATTTTGTAATGAGGTGGGTTATTGGAGGATAAAAATTATGCTTTCACCTGTACTGTTGGGAAATGTGAGGGAAAATTCCCATAGGTTCCATAGGTTTTGTCACCTGGAATATTAATCAATTGAAAAATGAGGTTTTTGATGTTGCTCACAAATATGAGTACTTTAAACTAATGTGTATAACTGTGAATCCCACCCTGTGAAAGTGCTAAGACCGAATACAGACCGTGAGGGGCCATGACAGCCAAAGTGAGCAGTGTGACAGTGCTAGAGGGATGGTTGTTCTGGTAGTGGAAGGCGGCAGATAGAGCTGACACCAAGTGCCGTAGACAGTGAGCTGGCGTAGCCTCAGACTGGGCTCCCCACGCCGCGGCAAGCTGCCCACTCACAATATACCATACCTGCAGAACAAAGAGATTAAGTTTCATGATTTTAAATCAAACAATTCCTTATTTATATTTTTCTGTTTCAAACATAACCTAGCCCAAGTAATATTTTCCTCTCCGCTGAATAATCACCACATTTCTATTGTCCATCCACATCATCCCGCAACTTAAATTCACTCTTCATATTATAACTTTATTTTAAATTAATCAGTCTGTACAATGCTAGTAAGTGACACTAATTTTGTTTTTTTCCAAAAATATTTTTTTTTTTTATCAAACGGACAATTATTTGAAATAGTGCAAGTAGGTCAACGTGTACATGGACAGTCCTCGTCAACTCCACCATTGCCCAGTGCATCAAGTCAGGTGGGGTACCCCAAACCAAACATCTCTTTAGCTTCACTAAGTCTGTGACAGTAATTCAAAATTGTGTTGCACTTTTTAACTAGCCTAATTAAGAATGATTAATTTAATTTTAAGTTACATCTATTTTTCATATTTTACCAAACAATGTCACATACCAAGATAGTGGAGAACAATGACCAAACATGTTGCACTAGCACTTATGCACTTGTGTACCTACTTTAAATATCTATATTCTCTTAAAATATATGTCATTTTCCAAACTAAATAAAAAAAGTAAACTGAACTAAAAGAGCCATATGAAACAGTTTTATACAACTTTTTACAGTAGCAAGGTTGGGCTATTAATTAACAGCTGTGTCTAAGGAATATGTCGGCCTTAGTCACTAACAACTAACAAGACCAGAAGATTGCGCCACTCATCTCCATTCATACTTGGCTTAAAATACCTACTTTGTATGGTCGCCATTTCATAAATAGACTTCATAAATGATGTTAAATTAAACCTTAGTTCTAAGACATTTCCTTGACTGTGCCATGCATGTAAACCAGTGTAACGGCAATAAAGCATTCTTATTCTTATTCTTATTCTTATTCTTCAGTTCTTATACTTCTTCTGAAAAATCAACATGTAGACTACGGAGACTTTTGTTTTCCTCAACTTTGTATTTGCCTCCTGGCTGTTGTATTTAATTTATATACTATATAAAATTAAATTAAACACAATACTCAAACAGCTGAAGAAGTCTCGGTACTAGTCAATGTTTGGGAGGAATAAAAATGTTTACATACTAATTATTGAAACTAACTTATATTGCATGTAAGGAGAAAAACTATTACAAACAAAAAGTGAACGATAAAAAAAAATATTTGAGCAGCTGATCATACAGTAGGTAAGCAATGCAACACATATCAATGAGACTACTCACATCTCGCTCAAACTCAGGCGTCTTGTTGGTGGACAGGTGCGTCAATAGCTTGTGGTAGGTAGAGCCGAGGCTAGCACACGAGGTGGTCAGATGGTCCCAGAGACTGATAGGTGCCTGACGTAGCCCGGTCACCCAGCTGATAGCCTCTATCTCGCTGCGGTTCTTCACCTTGGACACCACCTCAGCAGCGGCCAGCCACAAGCACCACGACTGTCAAACACATACAACAATGTGCAACAAGACCGAAACTACAATGTTGTATATTCAATCGAACTATTGGTCAAACTAGAGGTGTGCGGATAGTGAAATTTGAGTTCGGATCGGATAGTTATAGGTTCGGGTTCGGACATTTTCGGATTCGGATAGTTCGCAGTTATTTAATAAATTAATACCAAGGGAACATCATTTTTATATATCGTAACATTAAACTAATAATACTTATTGATCTGATCAAAATTACTCTACTCGTATGGTGCATTAAATTTATTTACCTGGGTGTTTTTATCGGTTTTTGTATCCCTAGACCACAAATGTTGAAATTACATCTTACATTTCTGTAATAATAAATAAGAAAATAACACATATATAAAAAAAGAAATTAACAGCATTACCTATTTATATTACTGGTAGCGGTGTGTCTCTTTTGACCTCAGTCTCAAATGTCATTATATACAGTCTATCCGGAAATGTTTAACGGATAGTGACGAATATTATACCATTTTGTTACCTAATGATAATGTAGTTGTTTCCACTTTGTATAGAACTCCTGATTCTAATATTAATATGTTTTTTAATCTATTTGAATCGTTTTTGTTACACTTATATGGTAAATTTTCTGGGTCGAAGCATATTATTTCAGCTGATTTTAATATAGACATTTTGTCAAAATCACATGAAAGAGAATCATTTTTGAATTTATTGCGATCCTTTGACATGTATTGGTTGAATGAGGAACCTACTAGGGGGGGGGGGAAATGCATAGATAATATTGTAAGTAATTTTAATAGAAAGAAAACAATTTGTTGTGTAATAGAACCTCATTTATCGGATCATGTGGGGGTATATGCTCAATTTAAAGAAATTTCTATGGAAAGTGTGATGCCTAACAATGTTTTGACTAAGAAAGTCAGAGAACTGACACCTGAAGCACTTTTCAATTTAAAAAGTAAATTGTCCCAAATTGACTGGACGCAGTTATGTAGTATAACAGATGTAAATATAGCTTTCAATCATTTTAATTTATTGTTGACAAATTCATATAATGAATGCTGTAGAGTTAAGGAAGTTAAGGTGAAAACTAGAAAAAAGCCTGACTTAAAATGGTATACACCAGAATTGAAGAGCTTTAAAGTGTATGTAAATGCTTTTTATGATAGATATAAAAATAGCTTGGGCACAGAAAATGAAAATATCCTCAAACAAGAATACATAGATGTAAAAAAAAGGTACAAACACAAAGTTAACTATTGCAAAAAAGTTGCAAATGAAAAGTGCATTTTAAATTCCTCAAATAAATGTAAAGCTGCGTGGGCTTTAATAAAAACTGAGTCAAATTGTAATGTCACTAAGCAAGAAAATTTATTAATTGATTCAGATACTTTTAATGACTATTTTGTTAATATTTTAAGTACCGGTAGTATAAATGTTGTTAGTGATAAGAATAAATCCCATGACAAGGCAGTAGAATTAGTAAATAATTTTGTCCTTGAAAGAAAAAAAGATTTGAATAAATATCTGGTTTGGTGAACAATTGAAGGTAAAGATGTGACTAAAGTTGTTACTAGCTTAAGTTCATCATGTAGTGAAGATTACTATGGTTTATCAAATAGAGTTCTAAAGGAAATATGTCAGGTGATAGTGACACCATTGACTTTACTGTTTAATATGATCTTGGAACAGGGTATATATCCGCAAGCACTAAAAGTAACAAAAGTGATACCAGTCTATAAAAAGGGTGAAAAGTTGACATCTAGTTACCGACCAATTTCTCTGGTTCCTATAATAAGTAAAGTTTTTGAATCCTGTATTAAGGCTCAACTTGATACATTTTTTGTGACTAATAATTTGTTTTGTGAGGAACAGTATGGTTTCATGCAAGGTAAAAATACAGTAAAAGCAGTAGAGAATGTGATAGAAACAGTGTTAGAAAACTTAGAAAATAAGCTGTTATCATCTGCCTTACTCATAGATCTTACTAAAGCTTTTGATTGCATGAATCATGAGCTACTGCTAGACAAACTGTTTCACTATGGTATCAGAGGTAAAGAACTTAATTTATTTAAATCATACTTGAGTGGTAGAGAACAAATGGTGGTTCAGGGCCATGGTGGAAGTAAATAAGGTGTGCTACTCAGCCGGACGAGTTTGAGACCGTTCTGCGCATCTCGGCATGACGTCACCTTGGGGGCAAACCGCTTCGCGCGCGTATATAGCTCAGCGTGACACTGCTCTATTAACATCAACATTTTGAACTGTTAGAATCGAGCAAAAATTATGAAACTTGACATGGACATCAATTATAAGTGGACGATGCGTGTTGTGAAAAAATAGATTGTAATTGTTAAAAACTCAAGCATGAAATCACTCTTTATACTTGGTCTTTCTTAAAACTAAACATGCGAAAGTTAGTCGGCTACTAAATCACGTACTATTTGGTTAGAAGGATTTGACCAGCGGGAAAGTTTTAGATAAAGATCCAAATTTAACTTTCCTTCAAACTATATACCGTTACAGGCATTATTTCCTGAGATATGCTAAGTTATATGAGCGCGTGATCGGAGCGCGTGCTGCGAGTCGAGTCAGTTGCCAAGTATTAATCACACATTGCCATCCAACAAATAATGTAGTTTCATGAATATAGTATCATTGATATTTTTATTCCTGTATTTATATTCTTATGTGAAAAATTGTTGTTCTGTTGACTTCAGTGTGTTTTTCCCCGTTTGAATATGGGATATTTCGTAATAGTTCACAGAGCAGAGAATATATAATATTGTCTCCTCGGTGAATAGGGTTAACATTGCCAAATTGCATTTAAAGTATAGCAAATCGTTGTTGATTAGTTAAAACCAAAGTTTGCAAATAGTGGTTTAAATAATAAATTATCTATAACGCAAAGGAATATATTTAACGTAGTATATAAAATAAAATGTACTCTGTTAAAAAATAAGTTGGTGATTAAACATTGTATTTATAATCAGGTTAAAATATAAAATTTTTCACTCTTGCAATACCATGATAATAAAATGTGATATTCCAGTTTAATTCGACAGCTAGGATCCTATTTCACTGGGGTTGTTATCTATGTCGCAACTTTGGCTTGGTGCGGGGGTGTGTGCGGGGGATGATCACGTGATGTTTGTTTTGTTTTCGTTTCTGTGTTCACCGCGAGTTACAGTAGATGTCAGTTTCCCATAGGGCATACATCTTTCTACAAAAATGCTCCATTGTGCAGTGTACGGTTGTTGTAATAGTTCGAAAAATAAGAAAACGCAACCAAACGTGCGATATTTTAGTTTTCCTCAACAAATCAACAGGAGGCTAAGACAATACAATTTTGCTGGTGGCGAAAAAAGAAAATTTCTAAAGAAACTTAAAAAAGTTTAGAAAATCCAGAGGTGATGCAATGTTTAATTTTTAGATGTTTACTTTCAGGTCGTATATATTTTTATAAGATTGCAAAATGTAATAAACTATGTTTTTGGTTAAGGAAATGTTATTCATTTCCGATCCTACAAATTGTATGGCAACTGTTATCAAAGAGAGTTAATTTGTATAAAAACGAAGATGTTGCAACACATTTTAATGTAAAACTTATTATATCTGTCACATGTTAATATTACATATTTAATTTAAAATGTAGAATACAAAGTATATCCTTATAACATGTAGCTACAGTGTTTTGGATAATAAATGCGTGGCCTTATTATCCAATAAACGGTGGCATCGGCTGAGCGCGCGCTCCGTTGCGGCTTGATATAATTCTTCGTAGCTAAAAAAGTAATTCTTTTATCGAAATCCAACCGATACTACAGTTAACTTAGAACCTTTCCCTAAAACTTTCCCGCAGGTCTCATAAACCAGACCAAATAATACGTGATTTGGTAGCCAACTAACTTTTTTGTGTTAGTTTGAAAAAGTTTGAAGTTTGATCGGTGGTTGAATGGTTTTTAATTAAAATAAATTAATAAAATTTAAATCATAAGCATCCTATGTTAATAGTCCAAAACTATGCAAAGTTTCAGGAATTTTTATCGGTTCTTACTATTAAAAATTACAATTTTATTAGAGCGGCGTCACTGCTCGATATGCTCGCGAGGCATGTTTGCCCCCAAGGTGACGTCACGATACCCCTCCCCCGCACCGCCTGCAGCCGGCTACGATGCGCAGTAGCACACCTTATTTACTTCCACCATGGTTCAGGGCAGTGATAAGTCTGGCTTTAGAACAATATTAATGGGTGTGCCTCAGGGATCAGTCCTTGGACCTCTTTTATTTATTATTGCTGTGAACGATTTTACTTCAAATATTCCTTGTGCCACAGTGTTATATGCAGATGATACCACACTTCTTAACAGTAAAAAACACCTAGATGATCTAATAAGAACTGAGAACCAAGCCTTAGAAATAGCAATGGAATGGTTTCATTCTAATCTTTTAATTGTTAATGAGAAAAAGACTGAACAAATTATCTTTTCTTTGGACTTTTCTATTTATAAAGATGTGAAACCTGTTAAGTTGTTAGGTATTTATCTTGATAGTAGGTTAAGTTGGGAAACTCATGTCGAGCAGTTGTGTAGAAAACTGTCTAGAGTAATTCACCTTCTTAGAAAGTTGAAAGATTGTGTAACCAAAAACATGCTGATAACTGCCTATTATGCTTTTTTTCATTCTCACTTAAAGTATGGCATAACTTTATGGGGCAACTAGTGTAGTGCATTAGAGGCTTTTAAGTGGCAAAAAAGAGCTGTAAAAGTCATTACAAATGTTTCAGATAGGGAGTCATGCGTTCCTTTATTCAAAGAGCTTAAAATAATGACTCTTCCAAATTTGTACATATATTGCTGCCTGATGGATGTTAAGAATTCTATTTGTAAATTGTCTGTTAGAAAAGAAATACATGGCTATCAAACGAGGAAAAACTATCTTCTTAACTTAATCTCTGTACGGTTGGAAAAAACAAGAAACAGTCATGTTTATATGAAAATTAAATTATTTAATAAACTGCCAGAAAACATGTGGAATATAACTTCAAAACAGTTTGAAAATAAGATTAAAATATGGTTAAGAGAACATATTTTTTATACTGTTGATGAATTTTTAGCTTGTGACATTAGTACTTTAAGAATTTAAATTGGATAATTGTTTAGATTTTATATTAATTGTTTGTTATGTCATTCCCTGGTGTTTTTATATTTTGTTATTGTTTTAATCTATAAATTAATATTATATTTTTCAATGTACCTTTTACTTAGAATAGGCTATTTACATAATACATACATTATATGCTTGTGACTTTGTCAATTGCACACATGTGTTTAAAGACAATAAAAATCTTTGACTTTGACTTTGAATATCAAATTTGGGCTTCGTTCGATTACAAATATCTAAACCAAACCGAAACCGACCTGAAATTTCGGACATCCGCACACCTCTAGGTAACACTAGACATTCCACTCACACGTTAAAATGATCACTAGTGAGAATAAAATTGATTCATGAGCCATTGACAAGAGTACACTGATGTATATTAATACTTTTTGTGGAATATGCCAACTCTTTAATCAAGCCAAACTGAAAGGACAATGTATTGTAAAAACTACTCTAGACCTTCTCAGGACCTGACTCTTGCCTGTACTGAACATGGCCGAATGATCCGGTAGTGCTGTCATTTTTGCCACGTGGTAGAATTTCAACCATCGTTTAGCTCCAGATATATGTTTTGGAACACTTATTCTCAATCTAACTAGGCCTAGTCTAAAATTGCCAGTCTCAGTTCTATTGTAACGTACGTATGTTTAGATTTTTCGCCTATCATGGAAAACATTTATATTTAATAGCAAGTGCTCAGAATAATCTTTTCCCTAACAATGTAACACAGATTGTTCATACTCTAAAACATTAATTGCCATCACACAAAGCTACAAGTTTTTTGCCTATCATTCCCAATCATAACAAAATATTAAGAAATAAAACCTTAAGATGTTATGGACCATTCCTAACCTGGAACTGAGGTAAGCTGTTGACCAGCTCCAGTCCCACAGCCAGGTTACCAGCCAGGACAGCCATGGTTAGACATTCTGTGGCGAGGCTACTGGCCAGCTCAGGGAAGCCATGTTGTGAGGCTAGGGTGGCGGCCATCTTGAGAGACTTGAGCTCCTTGTCTCGCGCCAGTGTCTCAATACAAGCCTGAATGTTGCCCGCAGCCAAGAAGCTGACAAAAAATAATGTTAGTTCGATTACAAATATTTAAAGAAAATGGATGAAATTAATTATAAAAATGGTGAATTGTGACCTGAACTTGTACAAATCTTTCATTAGGCCAATGTGCTTTGATACACATTAGTAGAAGTTGAGAGGAAGTTAGTACAGTCCAACCTCGGTATAACGAATCTGAAGGGATCGAATTCAGATATTCAGTTCAATCCCTTCAGATTCGTTATATCAAGGATTTCGTTAAAACAAGGTTCGTTATAGTGAGGTTAGGTTTGCAGGAATTTCGCTAAGTCGAGGTTTAGAACCAGCATCGGTCAATATAGGTCGGGATTTGACCTCATTAAAACACAATTAAAGTAGCATAGGCTGCAATACTTTACAGTACAGTTTAACATTGTAAAGTCGAACCTCGATAATCTGGGGTACTAAAGGGTAAAGGGTAGGTATCTTTAATATTGCGCAATCATGACATTTATAGTCATTGACCTTGGTCCAGGTTACAAACTGTAAGTTTAAAATCACAGCTTACTCTAACCCACCTAAAACCTAGCCAAACACTGTATTGTATAGCAATAAAACACGCAAAGAACAAACAAAACAGTAGATAGTTTTGTAAGCTACTGCTTGTGATAGGCCGGTAGGCTACAGTACTGCTTTAAATCACAACAGAAGAATGTCAATACTTGTAATAATCATCAGCTATAGCATTGGTGTTGCCTTAGTTTAAACAAATCGTATTGAAAATAATAAAAATATTACATAAGTCGTTATAAAAGTGTATAATCATAGCCAACTTAAAGATAATTAAAACACTTGTAAAATGAATGTTAAGATAACGATGTTGCTATTCTTCCTCTTTGCTTTGTTCTTCTATTCTTTACTTTTTCCTTCTTAGGTTTCTTTTTGTCCAAAAATTGTACAAGTCACCATAGTTTATTAAGTGCTTTATTTTAGCTGGGATCATGAAAAATTTGTTAAATCAAGGTCGTTGATATGGTTTGTTTGTTATGTAGAGGTAAAACATACATTGTGTCTTATGGAGAGTTCTAGGGGATTCAAAAAAATTCGTTATATCAAAGAATTTGTTATATATATGTTCGTTATATCAAGGTTAGACTGTAGCTCAATTAAAGAGCTGTAATGGGATTTTTTAATTTTTTATATACTGTATATATTTTTTAAATTTTTAGGGAGACTTTTACGCACACAGGTAGCCAGCCTGTAGAGTGAGACTCCTGAATTTATCACAGACCCATCCATGACGGAAGGTGGAGAGCGGGTGCCAAGTTTCTTGGTTACAAGTTTGTAATCCAGGCCCCACGGATTGGAATCAACATCGTCCCCTAATGTCTCCCAGCAACGCGTTTACTTCGGTTGATGGCTCGACGAAGAGACCTCCTAGCCACTCTGTAAGCATCCGATTTACGAAGTCTGTCTACAGGTTCTCTGGCCCTGGTTTTAAGTACATAGTAAAAAAGCTAATATAAACAGACGTTTGTCTACTTACCAGTGAGCGGCCAGTTGCAAAGAGCCCTGTTGTCGGGTAGTGGTGGCCCACTCTGTGTATACCTCGGTTGTCAACTCATCATCATGTGCCAGACGACACTTGGCGATGGCGATGGCCTCTCGGTACATCTTGTAGTCGGCCAACAGTCTCACTGCCTCGTGTACCTAAACATCACCACATTGACTAAAGATTCTGCATCATACAACAAGGTCCAGTTGGGCAAGGCGAGCTAGTTCAAATCTGACACCAGTGTCTTAATCTTAATTTTCTCACTATTATTCTAGGTGGTTCCTGCTAAAATTAGTCTCATTGTAACAGTTGATAACGATGTCAGGGAAAATCAACACTACTTCTGAGTATGATTATGATGGCTAGAATAGTAATGGAAGAAGTAAAGAACACAGTGGTAGATTTAAAGTAGTTCACTTGGTTGGTGAGTGGAGCTCGTAACTACTAGTAGAAGACCTTAATTTATACAATTACAAGGTACATACCTTTATATCAACAGTTCAACAAAGTGTGGTAGTAAAACTCATGTGTTGCCTATTAAGGCATTCTCAGGAAATAATCTCCTATAATGAATATTTCATCCATTGAAAGTCGTCAAATACATTCAGATAAACAGACAAAGAATACAGGCTAACAATGCACGAATAAACATTTTGATCTATCTCAATATATCTGAATGTATTTGATGACTCTATTAATGGATGAAGCATTCTAATGACAGTTCAGATGACATTAAGTAATAATAGACTTATAGTCTATGTAGAAGCAGAATTATTCAGTCGTGGAAATATTGCCACAGCAAGTATACCAAGGCCTAGTTATCTGTCTACACTCTGGTACTTGAAAAAGAGCGATTGGGTGCAACAACACTGCTGGATTTTTACAGTAGCACATGTCTAAAGTAGCTTTACGCATTTGATTGCTTATAAACTGCTTTTAAATGGCGGTCTAGAAGCAATATTTGTAATAATCGGGTATGGATTTAAGCAGAGTTTATTTTACACTATTTGCTGTTGTTTGCTAGATACATTTTGAACCCAACTGAGTCAAATATTTATGTAATGAAATATTGATTTAAAACACCACTACAATGATTCAATGTATTTAATTCTGGTAGCACAAGAAGAGTAATGGAAGGATTTGGAAGCAGGTACAGCTTTATTTAAAAGTCGGTTACTGGCTCAACAGAGTGGAGTGATTATTGAAAGTAAATATATTTGTTATCTACCTTGTTTATTTGAAGCAGGTAAGATGAACCTTTCACAACTTCGCCACACTCCACCAACTGGGCTGAGTACGCTTCACTAGCTTTCTCCCACATACTGGAATGAAATCACCATTAAACATATTTTTTATGGAGGATAAAGCACTTGGCTTTAGGAATTTAGGAATATGAATACATTAAGGAATAAGGAATGGATACATAAAAAATTTGTCCATGAAAAGAGTCCCAGTCAGTTAAAGGCACACAAAAAGTTCACAACACAAATGACTTGATATTTCCCACCTTCAAGGGTCTGACTTAGGGGAGGTACAAATGAGGCATTTAGTTCAAAATTCCTCCGTGAACAGCGCTGTAGTAGAGAGCACTTTGGCAATAAAGTTTTACTAATCGCAAAAATAGTTCTGTTCATAAAATAAAATTATAAATGCCTCAAATTCAATTTTACTATTTTTAATTATAAAATTAAACTATCATAACCTAACCGAACTAACCAAACTTGCTGATAAAGAAATAATATAACAAAAGTTTAGTAATCGGAAAAATAATTCTGTTTATTAAATAAAACTAGAAATTGCTCAATTAAAATTTTATAATGACTTAATAATAAAATTAAACTGTAATAACCAAACCAAACCAACCAAACTTGCTGATAATAAAAAAAATCTTGGACAAAAAGTTAATGCTACTAGCGGGATTCGAACCCAGGACCTACAGTATACCAGCCCGGCACGCTAACCATTAGACCACCGAGGCCGATGGCTACCGAACGTTTTGTTATGGTAATGGCGTTCCCTCAGCTAATAAGAAGCCCTCAGCTGTCATCGTAGCCTCTTCTATACCTCCCCTGAGTAAATACCCACCTTCAAGGGTGTTTTTTCCAAAGAAAAATGGTAGAATAGCAGTTGCATAACTTGCACAGTTTGGACCATCCAAATCAGTCTCGCCAACACATCACTTTCTATCTAATTGAATCAGCCTATCACTGTAAATATTACAATTTGTCTACATACATAATACATTATAACAATCAGTACCTCGGTTCCAAATGGGCCCAACGTGCAATAGTTTTTTGTTTTGTTGGGGGCGCAAGCAACAGACACTATTTGGAAAATTTCTAAAAAATCGAGACAATAGAATCACAGACTAGGTAACCAAAATTTGTATTGCTTTTGTTCCATAGTCTGTGGTATTATCCAGGGATCGTGATTTATTTATGACAAAGTATATGACAAACACCGTTTATATACCCATAAATAACTATGCCAGGTAGGTCAAATATTTTTTCCTGCCACAGTATCATTCGCAAAAGCGTACAGAATTTTAGTTAGGTAGGTAGTCAAAAGGTTAAATAACAGCCAAAAGAAGCAAGAAATGTAAAAATTTCATCAATGAGCTCTTAATTAGAAAACTACCTCTTTGTGAGTTATTTTGAGGGGGGTTACCCTTCTACACAGAAATGTTGACAGTCCGGCCCCGCTTTTCATTCAAAAATAGTCAATGTGGCCCTTGAGTAAAAAAGGTTGAAGACCCCTGTCCTAAGCATGGAGCTGTTGTATTGATTCTTGGGGAACAATTTCAGATCTTTGGTGGTAAAACAGTTGTCATATAACAGGTTGTGGGATTGGACATGCTAGGCTATGGATTTTTATTTGTTAGTTTTTACATAATGTCCATTAAATATTTTTTAAGGTACAACAAGAAATTTTTACGAGGTAACTAACTAACTACAAGATTTCTATCCGTGTGATGTACTTTGTTTTGTTAACATATTGTCGCATGCACCTAACTATCTAGTAAGTGATTGGTCAATGTTTTTACTCACTCAAACCCAGCCATGGGCGCCAGAGACACCAGCCAATCAGAGAGCTGCTTCTTAGTGATAGCCTGTGTGAGAAGCTGAGACACTTGACCACGCCACAACATGGACTGTTGAACCAACTGGATGTTTACTAACCCTTGGGTAGACAGGTGATTCTCTGAAACAAAACACATAATCTGTTTAAGCAACGCTAACTTACAATACTGATTTCGACCTTGTCAAACATTAAAGTTAGTAATTCTCTGTTATACTCCTTCAATAGACAGGATGATGGTACTCCTGTCTAAGAATGATTAAAAAGAGTAGATGCATTTAATACTTCTGCATACTTTCTTGAATTTTACCTGATTATGGCAGCCTAGTTTAAAAAACTAATACAAAGCTGAAGACAGAGTTTATTTAAGCCTAACATACATTTTATTTCCTACACCCAATTTTAACCATCAGAAATATGTGTACTCACGGTCTAACTACATAGCATAGGCCTAACTAACAAAAAAATTACAACTTACCTTCCACCATGAGTAGTCTGGGCATGCTTTTGTCGTCACCAAAGAAGTCGAGATATCCAAGCTCCTCCACAGACACTTTCTCCTCCACCTCTGTCTTGACTGCAGAGCGAGACGCAGACCAACGCTGGTACAGCACATTGAAATGCTTGGCTTGAGCCAGCTTAGTCCCAGTTACGCTGAACATATTTCTACTTTTCTGTCGCTTCCTAAAGTCTTCCAAACCTGTAAAAAAAAAAATGATTATCCTTCTAGTTAATGAACAGTGTTTGTTTTTCTTAAAGAAAAAGGAAGTACAGGAAAACAAAGTTTGGAGAGACGATAATAACTTAACTTGTTTGCGTCACCAATGAATACTTGAAAACCACAGTATTTTCAACTTTAAAGGCTTTATTTTCATAGACACAATAAAAGCCTGCTATTGAGTGAATTTAAAATTTCTTAATTGTTTTTGTTTTGACTGGATTCACAATCCACGCAATAAACTGTATCGCTATCCAAGCTCTACTTCTAGTTTTGTTTGTATTTAACAGATTTTTTAAATTTTTTTGGCTACCTAAAGATTATCCCAAACACATTGATGTTATTCTACGATACTAACTTTTGTTGCTGCTAGTTGGAGAATGTGAATTACTGTTCATGCTGGAGTTGGCTGAAGTGTTGTGTTTGGAGGGGTTTTCATTATCTGGAAATAAAAATACAGGAGAATATTAGTTAGGGTTTATGATTTATTTACTATTTTAAAATGTGAACCTTTACTGTGGTTTATTTAAAACAAACCATTCTTAAAAATTACCAGGGAAAATTAATATTGATTGAAGATATTTTTGTAATGTTTATTTATTTATTTATTCAAGTACAAAAATTAAGTTTTACAAATAAGCTTTAAAACAAGCTGCAAAGCCTCACAAGGCCTGACTGCAGCCACCTATAGATAACAAATCAGGTTCATTCCAAAGTCCAAAAATCCATCCAGCAGCGTTCGTCTAATAACTAAACTTATTTTAACAAACTACATGAACTTGAACCACAGGTAAGAATATAAAGTATTAAAATTAAAAATGAACAATAAATAACAAAAATAATAAATTGCTTTGTTGCTTTACTTCTTATAATAGAAAATAGTTTGCGATTTGACTATGTGGCATATTATAGGAGTTCTACTGTAATCTGATCTGAATACTCTTTATTACTACCATCAAATTTCACAGAATGACCAAAACATACATATTAAATTACAAAGGAAATGTGAAAACAGTTATTAACATCTCTTGGTAAGGTATCCAACATTACCCCGATCCAAGTAAAAGAATTAGTAACACATGTAGGTAAACATTTAAATTAAGTAAGAAAAAAACACACACACATTACAATTAGTTTAAATAAAACATAAAAAAAATGTTTACTTGGTAATACACAATAATATTGATTCTGTCATAAACAAAATAAACTTAGTTTGACAAAATGTGCAGAATGTTGTTTAAACCATTAAAGAAAACAGCCGTTCTTGATATTTTGAATCCCTTAACCCTCCGAGTGTTATTTGTCGATGCATCGACACATAACGCACTTTGTGTAGTGTTTTGTGTCGATGCATCGACTCACAAACACTGTTTACGGCAAAGGCTCTATGACTGACAAAATCGGATTGAACTGGATCGAGTTAGGTATCGTTTTATTTGACAGATTCAGAGCTTTCTCCGGAGGTCTGTCTCTAAGCGCTTTGCATTTTAGTTCCGAAAATATTGTTGCAGACAGCTGACGTGCGTATTTGTAAACAGCTTGGTTAACCTCGCACCGATGACTGATGTGTTTTATTACGTTTATCATTGTTTTAGTGTTAAAAATCAAAAGTAGTGATATACGTGGTGCATTATAAGATTTAAGTGATTTTGAAGGGCTGGTTGATGATCCTGAAGAAGTAGGTAGTGATATTGATGTAAAATATCAGCCAGATTCCTAGCTATGGTTAGGCTATGCATTCTTAGCTAAACGCTATGTACTGAAATCTGTTTTTTGCCCATAACTTATTTATTTGCAAATCTACTTCCTTATATTACTATATATTTGTAATCCTCATAAAATTTAGAACAAAGTGGCTATTTTCAAACATTTATAGGCCTATAATTTATACAATTTCATTGAGCGGGAACTTATTTTTTTTTTTTTTAAATCTTCCAAAATATTTTTTTCTTACCTAAAAAATTTTTTGAAACAAATGTTCCTTATGTTTTATGTATAATATTGAAGCCCATGATTTTCCAAACAAAATGGTATATTGAACAGTATAATTAACATTGTTTTCAAGCTTCTCAGATCCATTTTAATAAAACCTTGCAAATGAGCAAAAAATAGGCAGACATTAAGGCCAAAACAAGGGACACTCGGAGGGTTAAGAATCTATCAGTCTGATCTCTTCATTCTGATTTAGAAAACATATTTTTTATTATTAAATATTTAACACGGAATGTTGTCAAAACCAAATCTCAAAGCCACAAAACTTTGGAAAAGTTTAGGTTTCGAGATTCTATCACTGAGTTTAAAGATTCTAAGGTTATGAAATTAAAAATTTTGGCAGTTTTATTTTTGAACCTGCTGACTTTTTTGTGTCATTTTTATTGTCTTTAACAATGTTTCCACACAAGGTCGTAGCAATAGAGCAAACATATCACCATTAACCGTAATGAAACAAGTCAATTGTATTCTGAACTTCAAAGGGTATCTTTATACTATAGCTAAAACGATTATATGATTCAGTATCATATCAATATTTACTAAACCCAAAGAAATATTGACCACTAAATGTTCTAATTAATCTAATATTCATGTTGGTTGTTAGGAGTTTAATTTTTTTGAATGTTGGTTGTTTATAAAAATTATGTCGTATTGGATTTTAAGATCAGTCCCATATTTATGTTATGTCAGGGTCAGGAGTTGATCTTTTTTAGTTTTGATTGCATACTTAACATTTTATTATTACCTGTATTTTTTGTAATCTTTGTAACCAGTTATGTAAAAAGGTTTTGTGTTTAGGTTTTTTCGAGATTCAGGATTCGATTTTTATAAGTATCGGTTTCGGTTTTGAGATATGCAATTATTTCTGGTTTTCACCATCACTAAAAGACACATAGGACCATTGGTAATGTTTTATGTTCATTTGTAACCAAACAGTCCAAAGTTCAACATCACAGATCACTGAAGACCACAGCTTTTCACCAGCCCACCAGACACAAAGACACTGATACAACACTACTTACTTAGAGATAGATCAGACATACCCACTGTGAGCTCTGTTGCCTCTTGCACTTCCACTGTTTGCTTCTTGCGTAATTTTTCTATGTCTTTCTCTGTAAAACATAAACTTGGATGAATAACAATAGAGTTTAAGACAAACCATTGAAAAAAAAACTCCCGTTAGAACTAAAGCTCATGAAAAGCATTTTTAGCCAAATCATTAATATACCAAGCAGTATTTCTAAGAGTGGGGTGCGAGCTGGCGTTGTGGTTAGAGCGCGGGACTTCAGTCCCTAGGTCCCGGGTTCGATACCCGCCAAGTCACCAATGGATTTTATCTAAGTGATGGTGCCGCAACCCCTAGGTCTAGACTGAAGTAATGTGAAAAACAATCACAGGCTCGTGCCTAGCGTCCTAGGACAAAAAAAGCAAGGAAGAAGAAGAGCAAGGAAAAACCTGAACAGGATTTTTGAAGTAGTACGATTTATTGTAATAAACTTATTAAAAATCAAAAGACAAACCTACTTTTCTCTGGCCTGCAGGTAGAAGGTGCTTGTAGCTCGGACATGTGCCACAGTCTGACTGTGTTGTCACTAGAGCCAGATATGACAATGTTGGGGTCTAAAGGACTGAAGTAACCACACATGACAGACATAGTGTGTTTCAGATACACTCCCATGCAAGACTGAGAGGGTACATCATATATCTGCAACAAGAGTATACATGTTAAAAAACAAAAGTGACACATTTATTTGTTTTTTAATCACAAACCAACATTCCAGTCTGAAAATTTAGGTCATTACTCAAACTTGTTCTATTTTCTTATGCCACAAATTTTTCGCTTAATATCAAATTAAACTCCTGTAATAACCTAGCTGCCGTTGCATATGTTACAGTATATTTGCCTCATCTGTTCTTTGGACATAGTAAAGCAGTCTAATAGTCCTTGGAGGTAATGAGACTTGCTAATAATTTGCTTTTGGACATTACAAGACCTTTGCTAACCCATTATTTAATTTACCAAATGCTTTATGTAACAACTGTGGTCTTGGACATTGGCATTGTGAAACTTTTCTAAAATATTGGTTTGGACATTACGGGACTAGTTGATGGCTTTGGACATTATTAACTAGACTAGGTTTTATTTGGTCGACATTATTTTATGGTCAGTTAAACCATGAGCTTGATCTTCTCAGAATAAAAAGCTTGCTCTGTCTGTACTATGAGAGGAAAAGTAGTTAAATAAAACCACAAAAGATCAATCCAACATTATCACAGATATGGCCAATTCTGACGAACCGTAAGTAAATCCAATTGGTATGGACACAAGTCTATGAGTGATTATGTTTCATATGACTCACCTGCACAGAGGAATCGTAGGATGTGGAGAGGAGTCTGCCATTGTAGTGAGGGCTCCAGGCAAGACCCACAATCTTCATGGAGTGGCCTGACAGAGTCGCCACCAACTCAGGCTGACCCTCTGCACAAACAAGAAAAGGTCACATAATCATATGATTGTTTTCTACTTGTGCATGCATCTGATATCAATTGGTAGTTTGATATTCCATATTGGTTGTTCACCTTTATACATTTCCACAACACTAACACCAGCGGGTGTTAGGGTGAAGAGAAAACAATGATAGCTTTGTTACTAACTACCTGCCTCGACCATTCAAACGTCAAATAAGATGAGCTATGTGCTGATTGTTGTACTCACCAGCAGGTATGTTGTAGACCTTGATGTTCTCACAAGTAGTAGCTAGCCAGTCTTTGTAAGGAGATATATTATTGTCACTGGCCACAGTCTCCGGATGCCACTCCAGGTTGTTCATCAACTTCTTGTGAGGGTAGACGACATGCAGCAGATTCACTGTCTTACAGCTCAAGATGTACATTGATCTGAACAAATAACAAACTATATGATTTGCTGACAAGAACAACAACTGCATGTGGTTGAATGAGCAATGGAATAAAGTACTTTGTCTGAAGGACAAGATAAATTTCAAATATTTTAAAATTGATATTAAGAATGCAAAATCATGTTATTACTGGCAAATAATACACAGCATATACGATATGGTGGTTGAGATTTTGGCCACTTTATTTTTTACATATCTTCATTAAAAGCTATCCTATAAAGCCAAAATAATTTAACATTAAATATGTGAAATCAAAAGCATTGTTCTTCAAATACCAACCTAATCTTTAAAAACAATAGGGTTAGAATGAGTAGCCTAGTTTTCATACAATATAAAAGAAGGAATTGATCCACTTAAAAATGACCTTCAATAACTTCAGAGGGAAGGTAAAATGCCCTAACAATGATGAAAATTAAACTAATAGTTTACAAAAAACCTAAGTATTGAAAATAGTGGTTACGGTCAAACATCTTATTAACCATTGAAACAGAGTATAAAGGAAAGGAAAAGACTAATTGACATTTTTGTTGTTGACTAAAACACATTACAAAATAATTAATTTTGGCATGTAATAATTTTACCGACATATTTCAATAGTTTTTTAAGATTATCTTAAACTAAATATAAAAAAATACCACAAAAATGAACAGGTTGATTTTCAATTCTAGAAAGTTGTAGAAGTATAACAAGTTAAATTTAGAATACATATTTAGAGAAGTCAACTCACCCATTTTCATTCCCAACAGCAAAGCAAGAATTGTCATGCTTGAATACAATCTCAGAACGTACAAGGTTCTTTTTAAAGTTCAGACTTGCATCGATGGCATTCAGGACTGAAGTATTCAATGATATTGGTTCTGAAAAGGAAGTCAACATGTAAAAACAAAAAAAAATAACAATACATAGGTCTATCAATTAGTAGTAATAGTAATAAAATAAAATAAAATGTGATTCCATCTCAATTAATGTTAATACATAATGTTTACTATTAACACGTTCGCTACTGAGCGTCGCATATATGCGACGCCGCGGTCATTGCCACAGACCAAGGTATACATTTGATTCTTACACATATACCGGCTGTCACTTGGATAACAGTACACACAGACCACGGGCGAAAACCTGTAAAACAGTGATCATTTACATTGTAATACGCTACAATCGTGTTTGTAAATAAATTATTCTTGTTTATTTGTATTTTTTATAACCTTTTGTAATGTCGCATATTTGCGACGCCCGGTCTACAGCGAAGACAATAGTGAAAATTATCACAGTTTTCTTAAAATAGACTAAACGTCGCATACATGCGACAGTTCATTTTTTGTGTTTTAAGGTAAAGGTAAGTAAAAAATAAACAGATTATTCAAGAACAGTTTATAACTGAACAAATATAAAAGCTACATAGGATAATGCAGCATACATACTGCATACATACATACAGTGATGCAGAAAAGTAAAGACCAGTTTTTCCAACTATTATATGACGTCACCAATCATCATATCCACAGACCAAGCGACGCTGTTGTGCGTCAGACATCTCTGTAGACCACTGCAGGGTATTCAGTGTCTTCAAATAGACCACTACAAAGATATAAGCATTTTAATAACATTAGAACCCCGACGCAAATATGCGTCGGCAGTCTAATTTAATGTGACTAGGGTGGAAACCGGCCGTCGCATATGTGCGTCGCTGGTCCATGTGAATGGAAAATTTCGTACTATTGCAGTAGCGAACGTGTAAAAAAAAACCACTATATTGCTCTTCTATTGTTGCTCTTCCTAAATACTGAAAAATGAAAAAATGAAATTAAGTGTTTTAACTAGGCTATTTAATTACAGTGACTTTAAAAAAATCTTAATATGCCGAAACCAGTGACACCAGTGACTGTTAGACACGCTGTACAGTCTCTATAGAAATTATTGTAGTAGTCTGTTCTTCATGCAACCTGTTGTATTGTTGAATATATTTCACACACAGTCCAGAGGCCTATATGGCTGAGTAAATGCAAGGTCACCAACCTATTACAAGTTACATTGGCTGATAGATTTGTTAGCCCAGCACCACATTAAGTAGTGTGTTGGTGGCGACTGTGCAACATTACCTTTGTTAGGGTTATTTATGTCCGCGGCGTACTGTAGTATGTCTCCATCCCCCACTGAGTACAACGCCAGCTGGTCCTTGTGGTCTGTGTCGGCCGGTATCAGTGGCGCGGCCCAGCACAGACGATACACTTGCTTGCGGTGATGCAGACGGAACAGCACGGGCAGCTTGTTGCTGTCCAAGTCTATCAGACCAACGTGTCCGTCACTGGTGCCGTATGCTAACCAGTTCTCCTCCCGAGGGTGCCAACACAGCTGTGATACAAATACTTGTCAAAATACATAATCTGGATTTGTTATATTACATTGATATCTTGTTGATGTTATTAGTGAATTTCCCTATAGGGAAGTAGCTGTTACCATAGGTGGCACGGTTAAACCTAGGCCCGGGAAAACACGTTAACTTGAGTAATTTTGTTAGATTTTGATCAAATTTGGTTTAAAGTCGGATAAACTTGAATGAGTTCATGAACCAGCATGATCGGACCATAGGAACGGGGTTTTATGGGGTAAAAATTGGTTTTTCTCATTTTTGACCCTCAAAACACAACATTCCCCAGTTCATCTCTAAACCTTTTTAAAAGCTAAAAAAAACAAATAATTTAGTACATCAAAGTGTTTAGAGTGTGTGTGAGTCTCCTACCAGCCCCGCGCCGCGCCGGACCAAATCAGTATTATGATAGCGCTATCTAAATGTCAATCGTGTATTCGTACCATATTAATGTTTTCTGTGTTCGTGTTCGTGTTTTAAATGTGTTTTTGACGAGTTGCAAGCTTTGATAATGTTGTCTTCGCAACGAAACATGTAAGCTGTTGAGCAATACCATTTTTGGACTATTTGACTGAGGTATGTAAAAAACCTATTATTGTCTTAAAAATATAGTCCAGGGGCCGAAAACATGAATTTTGAAAGTGTTTTTGTAGGTTTATTGGTAATGGAGAAAATTCAAAAAAATGGTAAAATTGTGTTGTTTGCTTGTTTATCTATTATTTTGATAACACTTGGCAAATTTATTTATCTTATACTAAGCTATTAATATTTTACTAGAAAATAGACTTTATTAGTTTCCTTGTAGCAGCAAACCTAGGTTCTCGTTAAACCTAATGTTTTTTTTTTTTTAATATACTTTTTTTAATTTAATTTAATTGAAAATCAATTTAGACAAATGGAAATTTGTTTAGTCGGCAGGTTTCCTGCGGCGGAGTATTTTTGGTTATAGTGCTGTTTTTAATCTATGCTATACATACTGCTGTTGTTACTTGCAATGAACATTCCTCTGCTCTTGTTGCTACAAACAAGTGAATACAAAAAAAATCTGACAAATACCCCACTAGTGAGTACTATGCTGTAGTTTTACCCTGATCACTAGACCACTTCGTAATTACAAGGCAAAAATGTGGTTTGGATGCCACTATAAACTTAACTGTAACCTTGGTAACCGTCTGCACGACCATCATTGACGCTTGACACCCCAGAGCCTGTCATTACCATCGATGCATCGATGCAGCAAATTTAGGTACTCATTAAACTTAATGTTATTTAAATAGAATTAATTGAAAATCAAATGAGGAAATGGAAATTCGCTTAGTCTGCAGGTTTGCTGCAACGGGGGTATTTACAATAATTTGGTTCGTTTGATGCTAGTTCTGCTAAAAGACATGTGACTGATCCTGTTCATGTTTTAAGCCATATTATTGAATTATATTTTTTGTGGCTTGCGTTTTTTCTAGGGATGGACGAGATTGGATTTTTAGTTCGAGACGAGACGAGACGAGATTTTTTATTTCTCATAAAATTTCGAGACGAGATCGAGACGAGATTTCCCTTCTCATACACAACGGGAAATGCACGTTCAAAATTTTTACCTGATTTTGTAACATTGTTAGATGACTGTTTAAATACAAAAATAATGATAATAGGCAAGAATATTTACAATCTTTTATTAAAAAACATCAGCATAACATTTTTTTATTAATCACGCCTAACTTATTAAAAATGCCTACGATTAGGAAACATAGTGATATCAGTTAGGATAGAGTTCAACTTATCCTAAAATAAAATAAATCATAAAATAAAAGCAATATTAATTTTTATAAAATAGTTACTTGTTTTGACTTGTTATAGTAATAAAACATTCCTCACACTGCTTACACTTTACAAAACTTCTCAAATGTTATTAAAGTAATATTATTAAAATAATTAAAGTAATATTTACATTTAAAGAATTAATTAAATAAGAACGCTTTCACAAAGGAAACGCAACTACAACACGCTCCTGTATTGCGGGTATTGCGTTGACTTTCTGCAGGCATTTTTAATTTTTTTTTTTTTTTTTTTTTTTTTTTTTTTTATTCCCGTCTCGGTAAAAATCTCGGCCAAAAAGAAATCTCGTCTCGTGTAACGAGATTTAAAATTTCCCGAAAATTTCCCGAAATTTCGAGACTTGACCATCCCTAGTTTTTTCTCATCTTCCAAACAAATAAAACCACAGTTAACATCCCCAAAAGCGTTAGCATCCATTTTTAACACAACTCAACCGTCACAGCGCGAGAGAGGTCACAGTATTGTGTGGCGGCAAGCATGTTTGCGAGCATGCTCGATCGTCTGTCGGAAACATCGAGCATGTTCACAAGCTTGTTCACCAACAGGCTTGCGAATATGCTCAACCGTGTATGGGGGCTTTAAACTTAAGCTTATTCCACTTACAGCCATGACTTTGCCAATTATTTTCTTCCAATAACTGCTGATCTGCAGATTGGTTTGGTCACCTAGGTTCCAGACAAACACTTTACTGTCACTGCTGCCAATTGCAAGCCTATAGCAAAGAAGAAGAAAAACATCAGGTTAGATGACACAGCATATTAAATTCATAACCACATTATGGAAAATAGAAATCTTTACGGTAAATTTTTTAGGTAGTAAAATACCTTCTACTTGTTGTCGCTTTCTTCAACTTCACGCCTGTCTGAGATGTTTTTGTTTCTAAAAAAAATGTTAACTATCTGCTAACTGTTTCAAATATCATAAGTTTTGACAGCCTGCACTTATCCATATCATTTTGAATCTGCATCTTTTGTGCTCATCGCTATATTAAAATTTAATTATTACAAATTAAGATGGATGGAACTGGGCTTATTCTAACCCCAATATAACTGAAGGAAGTTGTAGAATAGAGATGCCAGCTATCATACACCAAATTAATTACACTTTGTATTGTATTAACTATCTTTACTTTACTGGTAGTCATAATTTTGTTTTGCCCAAAATGTTTGTTTGTTCAAAAGGAATCTACTCTCAATCATTTTTGGAATGCAATGTACTTAAAAAAATTTAAGTTACACTCTCAAAAGGAAATCAATTTTTGCCCTGCTAATGACTAGGGAATATGGACCTACTGATCCGGAAAACAGGTGTTTACAAGAAACGTTCGGTTTGTTTTGAATGAGTTACGTACGATATTTATTACTAAAAATAATATGCTCGTGTCCAGTAAAAACTCTACCGTAAAGTAGTATGTAATGAAACCCCATTTGATTAAGCAGGAAGCAAACAGCTGTTTTCCGGACTAAATCCTTGTGTAGAAAGTTTGTTAAAACAGTAGCCTATAGTGTGGCGAAAAATGTTTTTTTTCTTTATCCACGGGACTTAATATTTGTATTCAGCACCTGTTGGGATCCAACGGACTGATGGCCATACAGTACACGGCTCCTCCCATGGTAGGGATGTCCAGAATTACAGAACCCGTTGTTATCTTGCTTGCCAACACATGTTTGTCCATCGCCGTTGTCCAGACCAATCGTTCATCCCCTTTATCCCTGAAAAATATAAAGGGGTTAAAGACTAGGTAATTTCTAACGTTCACAGGATGAGCCTATGACTTATACTGTTATGGTATGTGGCTTTCTTTATATCACCATACAATTCAGTAGTCACTTGGCCAGTTGAGGGATACAAATAGTTTATCAGTTCAGTTATAAAGGGGAAAAATCCTTTGAATTAAGATATAATGAGTTGATAACCAGTTAAATCTTGATATACTAGGATTGCTTTCATAGCAGTGAAAGCTAGTTGAGCGATTGTGTTTCATGGTTTTTAATAGAACAATAAATTAAAACAATGTTTATAGGATATAATACAAGTATTTAATCAATTTAACTTATCAGTTTGTCGCAGAACTATCAATAACGATCTATCAACTTAAAATACCTCAACACTAAAATCAGTAACTTTTCAGTGATTGCCGTGGCTGATAGACAAACTATGAGGGAAAAATCTTTATAAAAATAAACGTAAGCAACGAATAATCTCTTGGGCTTAACAGATTAGTAAGTAAAATAAATTTTAACTTACAAGGTTTCAGTCAAGACTGGAGTTGCGATGCTAAAGCAGCCTTTGTTGTGTCTGGAGTGCAGCAATCTAGGTTGGGGTCTCTTGTGGTTGGCTCTGAAAACCAGTTCAATTGTACAATTCTATTAGATGTGTGCGAGCAGCTCAATGTTCGAGTCAAGCCGAGCTTAGCATATAAGCTCGAAAGATTGAACGTCAAGCAAGAAAATGGAGCAAGAGCGGAGCTTTTACGATCTTTTTTGCAATCACAGTTAACAAGCCTACAAAAGTTCGCACAGTCGAAAAATTTATGATTTTGCTGCAATCCCGGATGACACAATAAAGTTTCCATAATCCCACAGGATTTTCATGAGATAGTAACCCTGGTATTACTTAGAAGACTCATGAAAAATTCAAAGTTCTAAGATCCACGGCTATTGAGAATATAAAACTGTTGAAATATACAAAATGGCAGCTCTGTGAGTAACCACTTGCAAATGACTTTAATAAGTTATTTATAGCTATTTACATTACAAGTGTAGTAAGAGCGTTTTTACATCACGCAGGTGAATGTTAACTAAGAGATGTAAACACGCTCTTGCGCAACATGTAACGTACAAGATTTTACCTGACCCAACAATATACATGGGTTTACGTACAATATTTTTCATTATCCATTTCACTCATCGTTTTTTCAGTAACGTTCTTTTACAAACAAAAGCTAGGTTAGGAAAATACTTTAAAGCATAATAACATTCAAGCACACAGCTGATTTCTAGCGTTGAACGTCGTTGGCTCCATAGAGGTATATTTTTTTAAGTTAAGCACTCAATGTTATTTAAATGGGTTTCATTACATCACCGAGTGAGTTTTTTTCAACTTTACATCGCTCGACAAGTAAGGAAGTTGTATACATCACGCTTGGGATAGGGAAGTTTAACATGGCGGGTTAGGTAAAATAGGTTATAAACCCAGATATAAAACCTTTAAACTCTTAAGAGATTAATAGTAAGTTACAAAACACCCTAAAGGCTTTATACGATAGTAAAGAATGTAACATAAAGCACAAAGGACTCTACGTTTTAAGGATGTATTTTTAATTTTTCACAAAGCTTCCACCTAGCCACCATTGGACCTGAAGATTCTTTCCAGCTCAGATCTTTGTAAAACGGTTTTTAGAGAAAGAGGGTATTTTTTTTAATATAGGCCTACCTTTAAGATACCTAGTTAAAATACCCCGCAAACCTGCAGACTAAGCGAATTTCCATTTGTCTGATAGGATTTACACTAAAATTTCTCCTTAAAAATATCACATTTCCCTATTTAATTAGAATTAGTTTAAGGAGTACTTAGGTTTTCTGCAACAGGTAGGGTAAAAGTGTTTTTTTTTATTTTTTGTCTTTTTTTTGTAAAATGTTAATAGTTTATTAAGAAATAAATGCATTTTTTAAATTTGATCAAACATCTTCATAAACAAGCAAACTACAACATTTTACTTATTCTCCATAATAAAAAAGGGGAATTTTAAATTTAAAATTTCTTTGAATTTTGTCCGTAACCATTAGGTGCATAATGACCCTTCATTATATACTAAATTATTAGTTTTTTTAAGCTTTACAAAATGGTTTGGAAATAAATTGCTTAATTTTATGTGTTTTGTGTAAAATATAGAAAAAATACATTTTTACCCTATAAAACCCCTATAAACTCCGTTCCCATAGTCCGATCATGTTGTTTCGCGAACTCGTTTGAATTAATGTAGGTTTACACGTTTATACAGAATTTCATCAAAATCGGATCATTTTTGCTCGTAGACACATTACTACATTATCATCGACAAAGATCAACTTGGACAACCTAATGCGGCTATAAGTGGGAAACATTTGTAGAATACACTAAAAAACCAGATCAGCTTTTGAAAAATGATAAAATATTTACAAGTACCGGTAATGTTTATTATATGAAAATATTAGGTACGTAATCTACGAGTTGAGTCTTTTAAACTCATCGGAAATTATGACTTTTATTTGTTTTTAAATAAGTTAGGCCTATGTTTTTCAATAACTACTTTGATTCTTTGCAATTGCTCGATTTTGAGCAACATGTACACTAGTTAATAAATTAAATAAATAAATCTAACTAAAACTTTTAAACTCATTTTTAACAGGTTAAAAAAGAATTGTATCTCACTTGTCGTTGATGGCAAACACTTTGTTCAGGTCCCATGACAACAATTCTCCAAACTGGCTGGTGGACAACAGTGTGTAAGGATCTGCCCACAGCACACTGGTCCAAAGTACCAGCTGGTTAGGTGCCTTCTTTCTGTAAAAACCACATTCAAACATATTAAGATTATTTTTCACTAAGATTGAGCACATATCAATCAAAAGCCATAGTTAGGGCAATACATTGCATGGCATCGTAGTGGACCTTTCAGAGAAGTGCAAGCAACTATAGTAATGTTGCCACACTTATTATTTAATGCCGACAGTCCATTAGAATACAGTAGACTCCCCATAATCTACGACAGTTGAATAACCACGATGGGGATAATTGCAAAATAATCAACATAGAAAATTGTATTAGCAACTCAAATGTATGTTATGCCTCGAAGGGCAAATATTTTTAGCGTGAGGCTTATCACTCAGCAGGTAGACTAAAGAATTGCCATTATTTACTTCATCGACCATCGACGAGACCCTGATTACGACTGATGGGTTGATAAGTTACATTTTGTATGTGTTTTAATTTTTTCCAGTACTTAACTTGTTTGAGAATCGATTTTTCATGTATCGGTATCAATATCAAGAATCGATCAATTTTGGTACACACCTACACTGCATTTAAAATGTGTTCAAGCTTAACCATACATTCAAAATTGTTTGCTATTTCCTAAGGAATTTTAGGTTAGGTTGGTATTATCACTCAGCCACTCATGGAAACGTCTACTGTACATATTTAGTACTACACCTGTTGCTTGTGTTGCCAATTGGGGCAGGAGGCAAGTTGAGAACCACTTCAAACCTCCCATCTGAGCCAGTGCGCCAGATGAATATGGACTTCTCTACTCCTCCAGTGGCCAGCAGCAGATCCCTCGACTTCACATCCGAGTCTCCTCCGGCTTGAGGGTCCATGTTCCTAAAATACACCAGGTTTAAATTGAACGTGATTGTAATGCTGATAGTCAACATGGAATCATTCAAAATAGATTCTACCGAAATTCAGAGCTTGCCACAGTGAGCGCTTCAAAGTTGTCTTGTCTAGTTTTAAAGAAGTAGGATTGCCAAGATTATATTCAGTTACAATCATGGAAAACTATTTTTCATTCCAAAAGTTACATTAATAATGACTATCCAAAAAGTAACAAAGAGTTTTTTCCTGGCATGGCGGCAAACAGGATACAATTCCCACAATTGATACAATTGTGATAGTGGATGGTGTGATGCAATTAAAAAAAACAGTAACTGAAATTTAATTTAGTGGTAAGTTAAAGCCTAGAAATAAAAGATTAACAAATGTGGCAATTTGGCATCAAATTTAAAACAATAATTGATAAACGTTTATAACAAATATCGCAGTGAAAGGTCTACTCTTGTGATGATCTGGTAAAAAAGTCTAAGAAAAGTTGTACTTTCACAATTGTGGAACTAAACTACGTTCTTAAAGCAGTCTAGTAAGTAAAGTTTATTGGTGTAATTGCGTTTAAGGAGAAATCGCTAGGAAATTACTTATTTATTAGATATTTATTAAAAAATAACACAAAGCTAACTGACCTTTTATGCCTGATGACATTGTAAGGAACAGGACACCAAGAGATGGATATGACATCTTGTTCATGACCCCGCAGACGATGAACTATCTTGCCATTGCCTGAAACAGAAAATATTGGTCTCTTAGTCTCTATATAACTTACAGGTTCAGGTTGATAAATAAGTAAACAATCAGCATGTAGATAGAGAGAGAGGCCAAAGTTGGGAAGAGGACTATTCACTATTGAGCTAAACAGATTATTTTCAGACATGAGCTCAATGGGATTAAGGCTTTACAACAGTCTACCCACTAATTTCAAAGAAATTAACAGTATTTCAAAATTTAAAAATGATTTCAAACGATACCTTTTACAGAAAAATTATTATAATATTTCCGATTATTTAAATGATAAGTAAATATATTTTAGTTTAAGCTATGTGGATTTTAGTTTTGTTATGTAACTTAGTGTTTAAGATCTCTGACAATATCACCTGTTTCACCAGCTAACGCTGGATCTGTGAAATGTTTTGTGATAATAAAGTAATATTTCATTTCATTTCATTTCATGAATCAATATTTTCACTGACACTTTACAGATTTTTAAATGAAATAAAGTCTTTAAAAACAATTGTCCAACTTTTGATTTTAACATAAGCTCTGTTATCTTTTAGATTCTTCTACTGAAATTTTGTAACAATCTTTTGAGCTTGCTTCACCATTAGCTATTCAAGGATAAACCAACTATTTTTAGAACACACTGTATGTAACAGAGGTGAAAAAATTGTCTTGACTTATCTGCTACAGTAAACAGTCATACCATTTGGAAATACTTCCGAAATAGTAATTTCATGGTACTCCATAGTCTGCAGAGTTTCAAGGTCAAGCCTTTCAATAAATCTTATAAACCCTTAAACGTAGCTCTTTAAATTTAACTAGTGTACCTGTTGCTCGAATTCAAGCAATTGCTAAGTATTACAGGTGTTATTTTAAAATGAATAAAACAATAAAAGTCATTTTCTGATAATTTCAAAAGATCCGACTCAAAGATTATGGAAATATTGAAGATGTACATAACATTTGTTTAGGCCTATATAGATTCTTCATACTTCTTCGGTTCAGTAGTTTCTGAGGAATAATTAATTGTCACAAAAAAACCTGCTTGCGTATTAAATAAGTATAGATAGATAGATATAGATTTTATTATACTGTTTACTGTTATTACTGTTGTCCTGTTGTTGTTTTATTATACTGTTTCAAATATTAGTGTAAATTTCAAATTTAATCTCTTCAAATGTAAAGAAACATTTCCTCCATTGGATAACATGGGAACTTTGAAGGCCACTGGGGCAGAGCCCTGATGGAACTTCAAAGATTTTTTTGGTAGTTGGCTAATCTACGTTCCACAATCCATCTAACGACACCTTAAACTTGGTGATCAGATGCATAGCAGCTTCAAAACAATTATCACAAAATTTGTGTTTGCCTATTAAATAAATAATAGATTAGTCTTTGTTAATGACTATGAAGACAGCCCTCTGCAGCATGGCTAACATGTCAGCCCAAGTTACTGTGAGATGACACAACTTTACTCTATAGACCAAGATATTAGATTAGATAAGAGTATAATCTTACCTTTTGTATCTACTACGAGTGTGATTCCATTTTTGCAACCAATAGCAATTAACTCCTTTTCATTGGGACAACAGGCTAGGCACAACGGTAGGATTTTTATTCCACAATGAAGTCTGCGGATGGTGTTGCTAGCCAGGTCCCAGCAGACAATCACACCCAAATCATTGACAGAAACAATTCTGTTTGTGTCAGCTTTGGACCAGTCCAATCCAGTTATCTTCAAGCCATCCTGCAAAAAAAATAAAGCTTAGAACTAGATTTACATAGGAATTTGCTGGGTACAGCTTGTGACACGTAAGCTGGCAATTGACCGATCGCTACCATTGCAGCCAAGCAAGCTACTCCAAATTAGAGACCGATTGTGTTTCTTACTTATATTCTCTACTATTCAAGCTGGTTCCCTGCCCTATGGGATAGCCTACTAGTTTTGACATAGTACAGTGTCAGAGTCCCCCAAATTCGGCGTAATGTGGATTGGAAGGGTGCCGAGTTGGTGAAATGCGGGTTATCGGGAACTAGGGTTATAAATAAGAACAATAACATGTTTTTAAGACTTTTAACCCCCTTTTTTATTATTGATATTTGTATTACAAATCAGTATTAAGTCATCAGATTTAGACCTAGTACAACAAATCCTTGGTACCGTACTTAGTTGCGAATGATTTGACTTACTGTAAGCTGGCTTGAGTCCATGTTTAACTCAGACTCAAAAAATTACTAATTTACTTCTGAGACAGGTGATGGATGAGTTATACGGACTGCCAGGTTATCGAGTGCCGAGTTTGCGGGACTCTACAGTAGGCCTAAGTAACTTATTTTTAAATTTTTTGAACAAAATATTGAAGCTCCCGCCAAGTAGCGTAAAAATCACATTCTGTGATTAATTTTCTGTAGAAAGGGGGTTAAAATTTCTTTGGATTACTGTTGTATTATTGAATTAGTAGGTAGGCCTATGCATTAAATTGTTTCTAATAGCCTATAGGCTAATGTGCATGAATGGCTTGGAATAGATTAATCCAAAGGCTGTACAAGTGTACAACTGGGCCAGGGCAGCACGAATGTTCATCAGTTTCCATGGAGAAATTAATTGAGTTTTCAGAGGAATTTAGCCTTCTTGCTGATCTGTGTGTAAGTGACTTAGTTGATAGTAACAATCAATAATAATACTGAGTGTGTGAAAACTTAATTTATCGACAGCCCTCGATAGTATTGTCTGACAAGAACATACACTTTCCTTGTTGTAGCAGGATAGGTATAATTAACTTATGTAGGCTAACTGTCACCGAGCACAAACAGAATAAGATCCATTCTTGAAAGCAAGAAATACTGTAACTTAAAGAGTATAATATAACTTCACCATGTCAATAGGCCTGGTACCGTAGCTTAAAGGGAAACTGAAAACTAAGTTCACAACAAAAAGTGTGTGTACCAACAAAAATGTTGAGAATAAACTTTAACTTAGGCCTAAAATAACTAAGGGAATAAATAGTAGGGAGTTAACGTTGTCTTTACTTAACAGCTTAGAAGGATGTTAATTTGCAACAGCTGAGTGATCATCCCCGGAAACCCATCCAGGGTAGGCTAGCATTCATAAATCTCTTAGGCTATCTTACAACACACCACAAACCACATGTTAACTGGTTTTTCGCATCAATATTTACGCCTACCATACTGTATTTAAATGAACTGAGGTCCGCCGCTGTTCCAAAAACGCAAAGAAGTAACTTAACGTAAGAATGAGCCATAAAAAGAGGAAGATACTTCCAATTGTAGTTTTCCTCCTCGAGTGCAAGTAGCCTAAGTTATGTTAGTCCTAACGTTACAGAATCAAAGGCTGCACTTTAGAGAGCATCCTACGTAACTTACACTCATTAAATGAAAAATATCGATACGGTATAGGCCTTTTTAAAGGCCTAATTAAGATTGTTCGATAGGTATAAATTATTTCATTCGGTGATTTAGGCTAGGTTTTAACCTAACTAACCAAACTTGATATATCGATTGATATGTTCATTCGAATGAGTGTAAGACACAAACTTAAGTGCAGCCGAATCAAATAATTTAAAAGTTAGGCTCACAAATTACTGGTGCAAACACTTAATTACTTACCTTGTGTCCTGAGTGACAATACCGTTGTTGGGATTCTTTAAAATCCCAAACACGCACTGAACCATCATCTCCACATGTCGCTAGGCAGTTCTTAAAACTTCCATTAGATGGAGAGAAAACCACTACATTTACCTTGTCTTTGTGTGCACGATTTATGAATGATACATCAAATTGGCCTTTGGCCTTAAAATCAATTAAAGATAGATCACTTCTGGCACCATAAGCAAGTAATCCATCATCATTGCAAGCAAGAATATTGCTAAGTTGCCAACTAGGCGAAGGAGGCAACGTACGCGTATCCATCGTCGACCTGTTAGATTTTTCGTTTCTTATAATTCTTAAAATTATTTAGCCTAGGCCTATGTTTTTAGCAACTATGCTAATGCTTGGAAGGACTAAGTTTAACTTAAAAGATGTTCATGGAAGATAACACAAGAAATAAAAACACGTGGTTGGTTAGCTCTTCAAGTTTCATCAATAAGGAATAAATTCATGTCCAAACAGAAATTTTCAACAAAACGTAGGAAGTCGAAATCACAATGAGAATGAATAGGTTAGAAAAGATTTAAACGGCCCGGCTTACGGCTTTCAATAACAACAGGCGGGGAGAAGAGAACACAAAGCAAACCAAGATAAGAACAACAGAACAGCTGTTTGCTGGTGTTAGGAACAAAAAGAGGCAGATGTTGAGAGAAAACACCTGCATCAGAATATCCAACATTACAAAATTTGTATTATAGATGTATTTCCATTAAATATATGGAAGAAATTTAAAATCTTTAATTTAAAATTTAATAAAAACCGTAAATATTAAGAAAATTAAACATTTTTCAGATAGAAAAAGATGGGAAATTTAAATCCAAATCAAATGAGACCTTCTTTGTTAAAATTTGAACTAGCTCGTGACATCTAAGCTATCACTTAGCCGATCGCCACTAAGTAGTTCGAAAACATTATGTCCCGTCATGCGGGTTGCATCAACTGTTCTCGTGGCACTTATAAAGGCGCTCAAGTACAAAATCATAATACAAAGGGAGTCAATCCCGTGAGGCAGCGGAAATGTTTGCAGTCCGGTCTTTCCCTAACTCCACCCTCCTCCCGCCAACACTGACCGCGCTGGTAGACCACGGCCGCCTTTAACTCCATGGGCTCATTTCATAATAAAGTACAAACTAATATTATTAGTAAATCAGCTGATCGCCCAATGAAAATCTAATGGAAATTACAAGTTACAAGTTGTAACTTGTAGTTTATTATGAAATGGGCCCCAGGCCGGGGCTGTCGAGGTGGCAAAGTCACGATCGAAAGTAGGGTTGTAACAGCTGTTTTGTTTGGAAGCAGCTATAGGTATTTGTGTATTTACGAAAGCTTGGTTACTGGACTATGAAAGTATTGACTCCGCTTTAAATGTAGAGATATAGATTTTCCATTTTTATACTATGGTTTTATTTTAAATATTTTAATAAATTTATGTTCATAAATTTAAATTTAAATCAATAAAGTGCGAATTAATGAGCTGATGTCACATGTCTGCCATAATGTCTTATGGGACGTCTGACACAAACCTACTTGCAACGTTTCCAATTCTATCAGGTCGTGGCACGTAGTTAAAGGTGGCCGTGCACCACTTCTTTTTTATAATAATACTAGCAGAGTACCCGTATTTCGTACGGGGTTGGCATTCACTTTAGTATCATTTGTGTACATAAGATGAGGATTTATTAGGTGTCAAGAGATTCTTTTTGGTCTTAAAATGCACCTAAGTCCTAACAAACATTTTAGTGTAAAGTATTGTTTAGGGGAAAAGCTCAATATATAGCCCACCCTAATAAAAATTACCTTATAATGTGTCCTCTTACTGAATTCTTCTCACTAAATCTAAAAATGTAATCGTTTTCAGTCGGAAAAAGCCCTGAGTTCCCGGAAAATGGTATTGCATTTTAGGAAAATTTAGATTAAAGAAAAGGTTGTGGAGAGCGGGCCCAAGTTCTTGCAGTGACTAATACTTCATGGGGATAAGGCGTAAAGATGTTCTTTCTACTGATAGCCTTTTTCGGATTCAGAGTGAAAAATACTGGGTATTCTCTAGTTTAGGCAATTTAGGGGCCCTAAACAGTTTAACAATTTTTTCTCTCGTTATTTCAGTCAACTACGATATTATTTTAACAAAAGTTAAATATACTGCAAAATAATATTTTTGGACGGACTACATTGACCAAAGAATACTCTCAGAGTCAGTATTCCCCTAGCAAAGCTCTGTCCCCGGATACTTTTATGTTAATCGGGAATGTGAGCTATCATCATACCAAATATCAGCAAAATCCAACCTATGCATGACATTGAACTTCAAACAAACAAACACACAAACTTTCACATTTATAATATTAGTAAATATATATAGATATAGATAGATAGTCATCACTGTGGTTTAAGTGTTGAAGAAAAGATAAAAAAGTTTGTTGACATCCAATTAACAGGCCAAATTGCATAAGGAAAATTGCTATAGGTAGTCTATAATTATTGTTCACAGTCTGAATTAAAAAAGACGTGCTATTATCAAGTTTAAGTAATACAGTTCAATTCAAAAGTATGCTTTTCGAATGGTGAACTAGCGCTCTCCACCCGCCAAGGCCCCACTAGAAAAACCGCTTACCCATCCACAAGACCACAAGGGTGAGCACCCCCTAAAAAAACAAAAAAAAAACAGAAAAACCATTAGAACGGTAAGCGAGACGGTCGTAGAAAAGAAAACTGAAAAGGAATGTTCCACTCCATGTTCCACTCCAGCTCAGTGACTCCATCCATTCCACATTCCACTGTTCCAGGATATCGTCTGTCGTCCGTGTGAATCTGTCATAAGTGTCATACCATTCTTTCATTTTCTTTACATATTCAAGGTTGTCAAAATATTCAGATTTCTAAAAGGATTATTCGTTTTATTTAGTAATATTTAAATCTCACCCAGTAGGTTGTATTCAGATTGTTAAAAAAACTTCTAACTTAATTCCAGTGTCTCATTAACTTAAACTATGGTAAAATACGTGACAATTTCGGTTCTAAACAAAAATTGTATTATATTATGTTTCATTTTAGGTTTAACACAAGGTAAGTTCTATTTTCCTCACATCTCAAATCACTTGGTAATTGCTTGATATGAGTTGCATTGTTGCATATGCTTACTTTTATGTCATAGGCCCAGTCTATGTAGTCTCATCTGGAAAATTGTTAAGTTGCTGAAGCTCTAACCTGCAAAATTTGAAATCTACAACATCATTCACACTACAACAGTAGACAAGTTTAATAGCTTGAGTTTTAAATGATCATAGCCAAATAACCAGCTGATCTTTGTCGGTAATAAAGCTGTCATCTCATCCACTCAACAACTTACTCAGTGTTGACTTACTCAGTGTTTACAATCGTTGCCCTCAAGTACGCAACCAGATGTGTCATTGTTGTAAAAAATTCCTCTTTTGGCCATAATTGTTGACTATTAACCAACTACAGTACGGTCCACGAGAGTCTGCAGTTGAGGGAGGAGCCTATTTACCAAGTGACTTTGAAGGAACCAATGATGATCGCACGTTGTTGCCAAATGTACCAGCTGACTTGAAAATGTTGTTAAGTAGGGTATATATTTATTAGCGTCATCAACAGGCAATATGGCAATGTCGCACTAGCCTTGTCTTGTGATTGGCTAATGCCAACTGCAGACTCTCGTGGACCCCCGTAAGTTGGAGACATTGCATGCCCATGTTGTATTCGTCACCAGATTATTAACTTAGACATAATCAAAATCATCGTAGTTGATGTGAGACACCTACATATTGTGCTGATCTAAATTAGTACCGGTAACTTAATATCGGCTGCACTTTACTTGACGTCCTACACTCATTCGATTGTTTTTCCGATTCGATATTTTCATTCGATTGTTTCATTCGATATATCGTTTGGTTAGTTAGGTTAGGTTAACCTTACCTACCTAACTAACCTAACAATATATCGAATGAAGCAATCGATTAATCGATATATCGATCGATATTTTCATTCGAATGAGTGTAGGACGTCAAGTAAAGTGCAGCCTTAATATCTGCCAAAATGCACAAACTTTTTTACCAAGTCAAACTAATGGACTGACTTAATTACCTAATGCAACTGTAAAGCCTGGTTTAACTTACACGGATCGAGTACGGCGGGCGAGTCAGTGTGTTTACGGCGAGTTGGTGACTTTTACCATGAACAATCAGATTTTTTGAATGCAAGTTTATTTGGTGAAACGATAAAGAGGGTAAAACTTAACTTAGGCTATAGCTCGACAGTTAACTAGACCAGTTTTCAACTTAACTTATTCATTAGTCCTACATTTTTACTTTATAGTAGCCTAAGTTATATGGAGAAAGTACGGTATTGTTTTTGTCAACATTTATCGAGGTTGAATTTTGAGTCGATATATTCGTTTTGGGTCCCCCTGAACTCAAAAAAGTCGTTTTTCGAAGCTATGCACATGAGGTATATGTGTGTGTGTGTGTGTCTGTCTGTATGTGTGGACAAGAGGTTCTACCCGCAAATTCACGGGTGTACAGAAGCCACCATTAAATTAATTCAATCAACTATCAACTTTGACTATATTTTTCATGTAGGCTAGGCCTAAAGGGCCCAAGTTCGAAAAAATTGTCATCTGAAAGGATGTTAAAAGCAGTGGAACCTTACGTACCATACCTTACGTCCTGAGGTGGCCAAGGTGGGTACGGTTGTACCTGAACTCGCCCCTCTCCTTCACGCCTCTTAAATAGGCTACTTTACTGAAATACTTTTTTTGAAATTTATATTTTAATTGGAAATTTTCTCTTAAAAGCAATTTAAATCGCCTTTATCATAAGTGGTAGACTAAGACAATTTCCTACTCCTATTTTAATGTACAGTAGAACCCCGGTTAACCAAAATAAAGGGGGAGAGCCGTTTCGGATTTAACCAATTTTTCGGTTAACCCATCATATGCTAAAGACAACCAATGTCTAATGTCTTACCACAATTTGTAGGAAAAATGAATTTAAGACAATGTCTACCGTACTGTATATAGTTCAATGTTTTATTTCAGTTATAAAAATGTTAAAATGGGTTAGATAATAAACAACTGAAGTTACCAAAGCATTTTACAGCCCTGTATTATTTTATGGAACCATTTTGGTTAACTTGAATTCAGTTAACTGTTCTACTGTTATCAATACTAGTTGATAAAATGTGGTAAAATTTAGTAAGTTTGTTTTTAAATTTGTCATACAAATTCTTGTATGTTTTCAGCCTAAACAACATGAAGTGAACAATATTGTATACAGAGATGTCAGTGATCTTCAGGCCATGTGGTTGCGGACTGCTAGTATCTGGTGGTGGATGACTAATTTGCTTATCTCTTTATTCTGGTGAAGGGATTCTTGAAATTACTGAAGCCATTACTTGAGATCATGTTAATCCCAAACACAATTTAATATGAGGTGAAACTTGAAATTGATTTTCTGGAAGGTACCATTTTTAGGTTTTCTAGGAAACCAAGTGTCCAAGCAAAATTATGGTCATTCACAAATAAATGTAAGCTTATTAAATTGCCAGCAAGTTTATAATTTACAATTTTTTTTTCTTTTATGCTTTTTGCATTATTTAGCCTACTATCAAAATTTTGTAAATTTTAAAAAATACATGTTTTCTTTGTGTTTTTTGCACTTTTTGACAATTTAACTCTTAAAATAAGTTTATGCACCTTAAAAATAAAGGCTGGGGATAGGGTTGTAGAAAATATAATTCTCTTCAATATATTTGAGTAAGCCTATACTAGTTTACCTTATTCCGTTCAGATTTTGAAGCAAATTATTTATCAGTTTAAAACAATCAAAATTTAATTAAAAATTAAGAAAATTAAGGTTTTTAAGGTGCATAAACTTATTTGAAGAGTTAAATTTTCAAAAAAGCAAAAAACACAAGGAAAGCATGTATTTTTAAAATTTACAAAATTTGATAGTAGCAAAAGCAAAAAGCATACAAGATAAAAAAAAAATAGTAAATTAGAAACTTGCTGGCAATTTAATAAGCTCACTTTTACTTGTGAATGACCATAATTTTGCTTGGATGCTTGGTTTCCTTATTTAGCTACGTTTAATCAAATCTGTAAAATACTGTACCTATGCAATCAGTGGTCTTTTACAAATTGCCACTCAAATGTAAACTTTCTCTGTATTATTTGATCAGTGGTCATCATCCAAGTTTTTTCCTTTGTACTGTGGTTAGGTTGTGGCTTGATTTTAACATGTGCCATGATTCATTGTTTTGTTTACCTTTACGTAGTTATTTTGAAACCATAATGGCAACCCATAGGGCCAATTTTTAAATTGAAAAACTTTTAAGTTATGCCTACTATTAAATTAAATAGCCATTATAAACAAAAATTTAAATTTGTTTTTGTCTAAATCTTCCAAACATTTGACAAAATAACCTTGGTAAGTTTGGCTAAAATATGTTCAGTTGTTATTATATTAATGTGTTAGAAAGTTTGCAGGGTGAGGTTCATTTTTCCGAGTTTTCAACTGTCCGAGTTTTGATAAATAGGCTAACTTAACTAATAATAATTAGATAAATCAACTGTACAAGTTTTCATTTGTCCGAGTTTATAAAATTATTTAAAAAAATAACGAAATATCAAGTGTCCGAGTTTTCAACTGTCCGAGTATGGTTTAAATAATAATAATATTTGGTTAAATCAACTGTCCGAGTTTTCATTTGTCCGAGTTTTTAAATTATTTTAAAAAATATCGAAATATCAACTGTCCGAGTAGGGGCAACATCAAATGTGACACTGCGCGCCGAGACTAGCGTGTCTAAGGCGCCTGGTCAGAAGCCGATGTAAACCTCTTCTGCGAAGGAGTCAGGCATTGTGCGAGCCGAGCCGCGTGAGCCCCTCACGTCGACTTAAGAAAAAATATAATATTTATATTATAAGAATAATTTTACAATTTTTAATTCTAAAATTAAACTGTCATCACCTAACACAACCAACCAAACTTGCTTATAATATAAAATATCCCCGCCGCAGCAAACCTGCAGACGAAGCGAATTTCAACCTGTCTGATTACATATTTACTAAAATACTTCCATAAATAAGCGAGTGCTTAGGTTTGCTGTTACGGGGAAGGTAAACAGTGTTTTTTGACCACACGTCAATAGTATAGGATGAAATAAATAAAATTTCCAAATTTGATCAATATATATCCATAAACAAGAAAACTAAAACATTTTTTATCTTCTCCATTTCTTATGACCTCCTTCGCAGAAGAGGTTTACATCAGCTTCTGACCAGGCGTCTTAGACACGCCAGTCTCGGCGCGCACTGTCACATTTAATGTTGACCCTACTCGGACAGTTGATATTTCGATATATTTTTTTAATAATTTAAAAACTCGGACAAATAAAAACTCGGACAGTTGATTTAACCAAATATTATTATCATTTTAACCATACTCGGACAGTTGAAAACTCGGACACTTGATATTTCGATATTTTTAAAAATAATTTAATAAACTCGGACAAATGAAAACTTGAACAGTTGATTTATCTAATTTTAGTTATTTATCAAAACTCGGACAACTGATTTTCAAGTATTTTGTAATTTTTTACAAACTCGGACAGTTGAAAACTCGGACAAATGATGTGATCCCTGTTTGCATTGAAGTCGATCCCAAAGAGCTTAGCTTTGCTCCGCTCAATTAGTCTTGCAAACACTGTACAACACGTTTTTATGTTAAGTTAAATCCAAACATTGAAGGAAATTGGAAATGCTGCACCAGCTGATTGTAGTCGTAATATCTTTAAGTGTTGCCAACTTATTTTCAAGCGTACATGTATTAGGTGCCTAATAAAAGCACACTGTTTTGTGTTGTTTGGTTGGAATACTGGTGTGCGCCAAAAGTAAGTAGATGCAGCAATTAGCAACTTTCTGTTCTATAATCAGTGCAAGGAAGGCCACTTTGTCTGGTGACTGTAGGAATAGTAAATTTACCTACCTTTTTAAACCAGCCTTTTCAATAACATTTTTTGAAAAAAAAATTCTCGTTTGAGTGGGTTTAAGGATTGAGAGAAAAGAATTTTTAAATTGTAATGGTACAAACTCCAACTTATCAGCTAGTAGCGACCCATTCAATCGTAAATCTGATGCTGACTTATCAGAAACTCATACATTCTTTTTTAACCTCAGGTGAATCGAACAATTTGTTACCAACAGTTGTAGGAAGATTTTAGAATATGTCAGATGGATAATTTAAGTGAACGGTCGTAGTAGATCATTTCCACTTTAATCATTCTTTCTCTCGTTTGCGAGTTGGAATGACTTCCTGCTCTAAATCAGCTGATTTCAATGTTGGCGATTCTAAAAAACATTAACATCCGGTAAGCAAACAATGTAACCTAAAAAAGCAAATATAACCATAATGTAAATTTGAAATAAAAACTTAACCAATATTTTCAGAATTTTTATTTAAATTAAAAATCCTAAAATATTGGTGAAGTTCTTTTAAAATTAAATTTAAAATTCTAAAAAATATTGATGAAGTTTTTATTTTAGATTTATATTTATTCCGATATTACCAGTTCTTCTTGAAGATAACAAAATTATTTTATATCACTAAAAAGTAACCTGTGTGTTGTGATAAGTTCATTATTGCAGGAAAAATCTTGTGTGTATTCCAAGCTGTATTCCAATCATTGCTACTCTCAAAATGTATGGCCGCACTTAGCTTTTGAGTGGAAATTGCGTACTTTGCCCTCTTAACTCACAAATAGCTATTTTAGATCAGCTGTTGTAGAAAATAGCCACTTTCTATATGGATAAAAAAACCACTCTATACCTAGGGATTCTTTAACTATTCTTAGCTATTGTTTGTTTAGATTTGCATATTGGAAGGTTCATACATTTTTTACTTTCTCCTCCATATGTAGTATATGGAGAAAGTATTGCTTTCGTCAAAATTTTCGAATTGAGTTTTGAGTGGATATAATTTTGGGTCCCCCTGAACAAAAAAAAAGGCTTTCGAAGTGATATCTCTGTGTGTGTGTCTGTGTAATTAATATGTTATTGCAACCTTTGTGATATTTCACTATAAAATGTTATATTTACTCCCATTGCTTACCCATGATTAAAGGTCATTGACGAGCTTATGAGGTAAAGTGTGTGCCAGAATGCTGATAACGTTTATTTCTATCAGTGTCAGCAGTGCAAGTGAAGAAATGCTTCAAGTGCCGTTCCCGAGGAGACCTAGGCAGCTGTAAGGATCCATTCCTCTACGGCAATGTGACAACCTTGAACCCTGGGGCGGGGGTGGAGGCTGTCCCTTGCGCTTCTGGCTGGTGCGGCAAAGTGCTCGAGGGTGGAGCCAACTCCTTCAAGGATGAAGGTGATTTATTTATGAATAATATAAATCCTAAGTCATTTTAGCAACCCTGGTAAAGCAAACATCTATGAGAATTCACAACATAAGTGTTATTTTCTAGACAGTTTATTTAATATGTTATCTAATAACTTTGATGAATCACTTTTATTCCTAGCAATATTCTCCCAGTAAAGGTAATACTAACCATTGAGTGATAGAAATGATGCACATGCACCTTCAAGTAGTACAAGGTTGGCAATGCTCAGTACAGTGGGCGCGGCCGGGTTAGCGACTTCCAGAGTTAGCGAATTCCGCCGTGGTGCAAAATCGAGATAGCGGGTTCTGGAGTTAGCCAATTCCTGACTGAGACGGTTAGCCAGTTCCAGAGTTAGCAAGTTCCGACACACAACCGAGATAGCAAGTTCCTGAGTTAGCCAATTCCTACGTCTCATTTACGCTAATTGGTGCAAATCTCAGATTATAATGCAAAATAATGAAGTAATCCGACTTTCTTAGAAGTATATTATTAATCGGTTTGAATACCAAAGGCTAACCTAACCCAGCCTTACCTCGTATTTAACTAAGAAACTACTTTAAGGTCTCAGAAAATAATTACTAGTAAAAGTTAAGTCCACCTAAGGAACATTGCAGTGCTGCTGTACAAGTGTAGGTAATTGCCAGTACAGATCTGTGATGTGTTTTCAGATCTTATGGATGCCACAAGTTTTGTAGTTCTGCGTTGGTCCCAAAGTTTCCTGTGTGAGTTTACGAATGAATGAGCCACTCACAAAATTAGCTACAGTCTAAAATTCTATTTTGTGTGTTGGAATTTTGTTACTGAGCTAATGGTTAATGTGACATATGGTATTCTGTCAAGACATAGGTGTGAGGTGTTCTATCAAGGCCCCACTAGAAAAACAGGCCATGCTGCAGCACGGGCAGCGCAACACTACGTCACAGTGGTGGATAGGTTTACTAAAATCTTACCATTAAAATCTGACAAACAGCCAGCTTATTTACTTAAAACATAAATGGGATATGGCAGTAAATTTATCAATGAATCTAAATTCCCACTAATGTGACGTCATGGATCCTGCATCATGGCTTGTTTTGTTTTTCTAGTGAGGCCTTGGTTCTATCCATAGTTACAGACTGTACTGAATACAAATCAAATCAAATCAAAAATCATTTATTCCATAAAAAATATGTTACAAAAATTATAATATACATACAAAGGATGGTCCCCACATAGGCAAATCCTGTGCGTGGGGAACGAGTTGTATCAGTCCTGTAGTAGAAGTCATTATAGTTTCATATATGAACAGTCATAATTATTAGTAACGGAAGAGTTATTATGTTTTGCGGGGTGGCTGCACTGTGCACTGAGCCCTGAAGTGGGATGATTCGTCACGGCTCCTTCTTCTATGTCCACCAACGAACGTAAGTGGTTCTCTTCCCGTTTTGTCCACTTTTCTAGCGTAACGTTAGGTTACGACATTTTGGCGCAGTCGGTAATAAACCTTTTTATCATAGTTAGGGTAGTACGCGATAACAGTTGTTGTTTTAGTGCGTATTATAGTTGAGATGATTAAAAATGGCGAGTATTAGTGTTGGCAGGATTTCTGAATTTAATCCAAGTGAGGAGGACATTGTGCCCTATTTGTTGCGCCTGAAACATTTTTTCAAAGCGAACAATGTCAAGAAGGAAAACGAGGTGTCGGTTTTAATTACAGTTATTGGTCCCAGGGTTTTATCGGTCCTATCCGATTTATTATCACCGGTAGAGGTAGATTCTAAGACCTATGATGAACTTGCAGCGTTGTTGAAATTACATTATGCGCCCAAGAAGTTGGTTGTGGCGGAGCGATATGTATTCTACTCTCGTGTGCAAAAGCCGGGCGAAAGCATAGCGGAGTTTGTGGTTTCAATAAAACATTTGGCTAGTTCGTGCAAATTTGGTACCTTTTTGAAAGACGCTTTGAGGGACAAAGTGATTTCCGGCATTTCTAATGAAACTATCCGGCAGAAATTGTTGTCGGAGGAATTGGACTTTGACGAAGCTTATGCGTCAGCGCTCAGGCTGGAACAGGCCGAATCGCAGTCAAGCCTATTTGTGCAACCTCGTGGGGACATTGCGAAAATCAATGTGAAAAGTCAAAATAGGCCTAAAACTTTCATGCATAGGAGTAGTGAAAATCAAAATTCTAGAAACTCTTGCTGGAGGTGTGGTTCTGCGGGTCATTGGCCTAGTGCGTGTGCGTTCGCCAGTTACAAGTGTCACGGTTGTCAGAGAGTAGGTCATCTCAAGAAAGTGTGTAAAGCCAAGAAATCTTCTAGTTTCCATGGTAAAAAGTCGACACCTAGGATGGGGGTCCATCAAGTGGAGGAAGAGGTAGGCCTAGGCCTAGAAGTTCCAATGGCAGAGATAGGTCTGTACAACCTTAAATCAGGATCAGACAACGGCTATAAGGTAGGCCTAGTGGCTAATGATGTATATTTAGAAATGATTCTAGATACAGGCAGTGCCTTGACTATATGTCCTTCTGAGATATTTTATGAAAAATTTTCTAACCTCAAACTTAGGCCAGCAAATGTGAAACTTACTACTTATTCAGGTCATGATGTACCTGTTCTGGGACAAGTGAATGTCAATGTTAAATATAATAATCAGCAGGCGAGTTTGCCTTTGACAGTAGTTAGTTTAGAAAGTAAGAGTCAGCCGATTCTGTTGGGGCGAAACTGGTTAGGCCAGTTGAGGTTAGATTGGCAAAATGTGTTTTCATGTAAAGCCATTGTGGATCACAGTTCTGATTTGGACATTGCTAAATTGAAGAGTAAATTTAAGTCAGTTTTTCAGCCTGGAACGGGCGAAATTAAGGGTGTTAAGGCTCATATTGTCTTAAAGGAGGGGACAGTCCCTAAGTTTTGTAAGGCGAGACCAGTGCCTTTTGCGTTAAGGGAGAAAGTTGAGAGTGAGTTGGACCGCATGGTTCAAGAGGATGTTGCGTACAGAGTTACTAATTCACAGTGGAGCACTCCACTTGTGGTTGTCCCTAAGCCTAATGGTGTTAGGCTTTGTGCCGATTATAAGATTACTCTTAATCAGTGTATTGAAATGGAACATTATCCGCTTCCACAGGCTCAAGATATTTTTGCAACTCTAGGCGGTTGCTCAGTTTTTAGCTGCCTTGATCTTTCAAATGCGTATCAGCAATTGGCGGTAGCGGATGAATCGCAACATCTGTTGACCCTAGCTACCCATAAGGGTCTGTATCGTTTAAAAAGGCTACCATATGGTTTGTCTTCAGCTCCTGCAATTTTTCAGTCAGCCATCGACCAAATTTTAACAGGTCTTCCAGGAACGGTGGCGTACTTAGATGACGTCTTAGTGGCGGCTCGCTCTAAGGAAGAGGGGCTTGCCCGTCTGGCGCAGGTGCTGCAACGCCTTGATGAGTTTGGTGTTCGAGTAAACCAACAAAAGTGTAAGTTTTTGCAATCTTCAATCGAGTATTTAGGACATGTGATTACTCGAGATGGTCTCCGTCCACAAGAAAGTTTGTTAACTGCGCTGCGTAAAGCGCCTGAGCCTAGTACTAAGGAAGAGTTACGAGCCTATATTGGTCTAATAAATTATTATCATGCATTTATACCTAACCTGTCTGCTAGAATAAGCTGTTTTTATGACTTATTACATAAGGATCATCCATGGGTGTGGTCGGAGGTGTGTTCTAAGACTTTTCAGGAGAGTAAATCATGGGTGTTGGACTCAAGTTTGTTAGTTCACTATGATGTTAAAAAGCCCATAGTTCTGACGTGTGATGCGAGTCCCAGAGGGGTGGCTGCTGTTCTATCTCATCTCATCGATGGTCAGGAAAGGCCAATTGCCTTCGCATCGAAAACGCTAAGTTCCAGTGAACGGAATTATTCTCAGTTACATCGGGAGGCTCTGGCTTTGATCTTTGGAGTCAAAAAGTTTCATAAGTATATATATGGAAGACACTGTATTCTACAGACTGATCATCAGCCGTTGACGGCTATTTTTGGCTCTAAAAAGGGCGTTCCTAGTATGGCGGCAGCTAGGCTGCAGAGATGGGCCTTGATTCTATCAGCATATGATTTGGAGGTTAGGTACCGGAAGGGAGTGGACGTCCCTCACGCTGATGCGTTGTCTAGGTTACCCTTAGCAGAAGCGGAACCTATAGAGCTGGATGCTAATTTTGTTTCACATGTAGATATGTGTACAGAAGTGATGAACAATTTCTGTGTTGTCAAGGACATTGCACCTATTACTGCCTTGCATATAGGTAAAATGACGGATAAGGATCCGATTCTTTCGAAGGTCCGAGATTTTGTGATGTACGGCTGGACGAGCTCGGTTGAGCCGGAACTAGCTATTTTTCTAAGGAAGAAGGACGAGTTGTCCGTGGAACAAGGTTGTTTGCTGTGGGGTTCTCGTGTAGTGATTCCAAAGAAACTGTATTCATCTGTGCTTCAAATGTTGCATGATCAACACCCGGGAGTTACACGCATGAAGATGCTGGCGAGAAGTTATGTCTGGTGGCCAGGCATGGAGAAGTCGATTGAAGACGTGGTGGCCTCTTGTTCTGCGTGTCAGTTAACTAGGAATTCGATACCTAAAGTACCGTTGCAGCAATGGCCTACAACATCAACCCGATGGCAGAGGATACACATTGACTTTGCGGAGGATCCAGAGTCGAGACAGCAACTTTTAGTTTTGATTGACACATACTCTAAATGGTTAGAGGTATTTATCATGAGTTCCATGAATTCTTCCAAGGTTATTGAGAAACTCCGTACCTTGTTTTCATCGTATGGATTGCCTGTCGAACTGGTGTCGGACAACGGAAGATCTTTTACTAGTCAAGAGTTCAAAACCTTTTTGCATAACAACAATGTGAAGTTCACATTAACTCCCCCGTATCATGCG